TTACCATCTAGCAATGTTTGCACTTCCTTTCTTAATCCTTTGCCTGACACTGCAGCTTTCATCTCCCCCTCTGATCTTCCAGCCTTTGAAATGAGCAGCTCCACACCTGCTCCGTCCCAGACATTTAAACAACACAAGAGCTGTTGAACGCACCCCCACATCCTCATTTTTGTTTATAATTCCACCGCTCCACGAGCCAAGAGGCAGGTTTACTGAGTTGTCTGGAAAACTTTGTGGAGGGGAAAAACACTCTGGGGTCTGGACTGATGTCTGAGTTTTACTCAGTAAAGTTATCCAGACAACTTCAGGATCGGCTTCCTGAGACAGACCTGCAGTGATGGGGGAGATGGCAAGTGGGAACATCAGTAGTGTGCAGTGGAGACATGCTGTAGAGATATTTACTGTATCTGAATGTGTGGATTTCACCAAGAATGTCAACACAATTCCATGAATGAAGAAGATTTTTGTGATACAGTGAAAGCATTCTTACTTGTGAAACTTTTTTGCAGGCAGCATTTAAGAATCCTCTACACTAAAGTAAATTCAATTTACTGGTTCTTGACTTAGTTATGTCAAGGGCCCCTAAATTAATACACAGTAGGTCATGGGCATCAATTTGATAAGATTTCACTTCAGGGATGCTTGTCGATCTTGAAGAAGGCCCAAAGGCTGAAACATAATCAAGATAAAAGAAATGCATATGGAGCCAGAGTGTGCACACTTGTTATCTACAGTCACTTCTCCGCCTCTGCCTAAAACACTTTTGGGTGTTAGAAATGATTAAGATTAGAATTCTATATTAGTCGACTGCAGATGAGGAGATAACTGTGGAGGAGGTGAAACCTATGATCGGAACAGTCACTGTTATGACCAAGGGCATAAAATTTTGAGTAGCATCTCCTGTATTCTAGTGACTTTTTATGCAACAATTTTCACCATTTGTGCATCAATTTATGGTGGAAACCAAAGGTGTAAATAAAGGCAGTGTAGGTGCACTGGTGCCTGTGCTTGAAGAGGAACTGCCATTTTCTAAATGTGCCTCCGAAAAGGCAAACTCAACTCTGTCATGGTTTTCTTTCCTTTTTTTGTGAAGCTGTCAGTAGCAATCTGTAACAAAATGATAAGCTTATTCTACATAAACTATAAAATCTATAAATTAAGTATAAAAACAACTCAATTAAATGAATACCTTTATATGTTCTTTGGTATTTTTGTCATATTCAGATACCCAGTGATGACAGGCAGGGTAATATGTATGTTGCAAGTCTGCAAACTGAGCGAGCAGTCGTACCATTCAAACATAAAACTCAATAAGTAGTTGCTCCATCTTTAAAAGACTTCACACAACTGCGCTCAGACAATGGGGGGGCATCATGGTCAACCAACAGAGGCGACTGTGCAGTCTCTTGATCCAACACTATGAAATCTTGTTATATCTTAATGTTGTAGTGTTGTCCTGCTGTTGTTATTGCTGAAGCCGTTGTGTCATGAATATGTTCCCTTTTTTGTGTTTTTATACAATAGTGTCTTTTAGCAGAGAAATTATTCTCTGTTTCCTGCCCAGGGATGACAGATGAAAACTAGCATAAAGCTAACTCTGGTGCAGCTAAGTAGCTGTGCACTGTGTCTGTTAAATAAATGAATAAATAAATAAAGAAATCCAACACATTGTTGGTAAAATATGCCTAATGATGTGTGTGCTTGTGAGTGGGCGCTTCATCAGTAGTAACTAGCGTGCACTGGGGGCCATCATAGCTATCTCATGGCACTGATGGAAATGTTATCATACTTCCTGCTTCAACTGTGCGGAGTTACTTTATCTCCTTTCCGTGTTATGGCAGATAACATCCATTGCTTTTGAGGTGACACACTGCCACTACCTACTTCTCTGGAGACACTGTTAGATTTATGACTTGCATTGTAGCAGCTTGTTAAAAATAAAAGTACTATTACTACTTTAATGTTTTTATTAGGGGGTACAAATGCACGTTCTCAGCACTGAGGGAGACGTGCCCCCTTCATCACTCGCAAAATCCACACCTATGCTGATGACTCTTAGATTGGGCTCATTCCTATAGTGAATCCAATTTTTCTGGGGAACCTCTGGAACTCCCTCAAGGACCCCTGATTAAGAACCACTGATTTCATTAAGGGACAATACTGCAAGTAAATCAAACACATCTGTAAAAAGGCACTTAGTTGTACTATAGCTGTGTTGTCGCCTTAAGGGATCAGAAGTTTTGCTCTGAATACATGGAGCTGTCATGGTGGGATATAATTCTCTACTGACTCGAGAGAGAGAAAACTACATCCACAGTAACACTTAAGTGCAGTTCATTCAGGAATTTTTAAGGATACATAGCACCATCAAGTGACGGGAGCATGCAATTACACTTTCAAAGTGTCTATGAAGTAGTGTGATCAACATGTTTTCATAAACCCAGTGTGGTGCATTGAAGTAAGAGTTTAACTCGTAACTTGAACTCCTTGCCAGATAGTGTTGTTAAATATTACAGTATATCTGGACAGCTGAACAGCAGAACTTAATGTGATTGAACTTGGATCCTAGTTGCTGTTGTGTGTGTGTGTATCTGTACTCTTGGTTTAAATCAAGTAGTTCTGTTCTTGCTGCCTGGTGAAGCCAACATCCATCAGCACTCCAGAGCTCCATCAGGCTTTGCCCCGGAGCACTTCATCCACTGTCCACACCTTCAGCAGCAGGAAACAGTCTTCTCTTCTTTCACAGCTCACCTTTCTGTCCATCAACCTTTTCTGTGCAGAGAGACGAAGCCGAATCAAACAGTGAGTTCAAGGTGCATGATAAGGGTGCGCTGTAGTGTATGTGTGAAACATGGACTCACCTTTAGGGATGAACATCAGTGAGCTGCTGAATATTCAGAAGCGTGATAGCCCCTCTCTTGGTCCGTCATACAGAAACTCATGGCCTAATCCGTTGCCACACTTCCCACAACAAACCTGGGATATTTAAACTATTATTTTTAAACTTAATGGATCACAAGAGTAATAACAGGCATAGTGTTGAAGTGAATCTACCTTGAGGGGTCCCCATGCTTCAGGGTGTTTGGAGACACTGTCCTCATGGATTGTCTGTGAGAAGGCTGGCCATGGAGAAGAGTGCTCAAACTTTGATGTGCTGGAAAATAACTCGTGCCCACATTCTGAACACACATACATACCTGAGAGGAAAAATGTGTCAGTGAAAGGACAGCTTAAGAACCATTGACTCTTGGGACTTTCTGCATCTTTGATACTCACCGGGTTGGAAGTGATTTTTATATTCTTCGCCACCAGAGAAAGAGCAGTATGACATTTCATCCATTTCAAATGTCTCTGTGTTTTAAAACCAAACGTGATTTCTCTGTGGTTTGAAGCATATGTTTACAAACAGTCACCGGCTTGAGCTGGAGCAATCCTGCACAACAAGATCAAGTGACAGCAGCTCTGTCCCTCTTGTGTAAGGTCTGACCTTGTTCCCATTACTGCCACTTGATGGCAGTGTTGACATCACTGGGCAGTAGATGTAGACTGTTCAGTCAACCAAAAATGTGTTATAAACTTGTAAGAAACATTGTGTTAGATGTAGGGGGATTTTGTAAAATCCAGCAATTAGGATTGCAGATTTCAACCAGCTGAAACATCTCCTGAGTAGGATTCCTTCAGTGGTTTGTGTTCAGGAGGTTTTCAGGGGGAACCAAATTATCCACAGAGGCTGCAGATAACTTGTGCACATTGTGCTCACTTGTTCTTTCTGATAGCTTCTTCTTATTTCTGATCTAGACATTCAGGAAGTTTTTACCAGGGGAGGAATCATCCACAGAGGTCTCCTCATCTCCAAAACAAACAGGCCAGGTTATTTAAACTGTTAAAAACACTGAATAAAGCAGTTTCACGTTACAAGTCAGTGTTTCTCCAACACTGTTGGGCACATCAGAGATGGGCCGCTAACCTAGCACCTGCTAATCTGTGCTCATCTTTTTTCTCTGATAATTTAGGATTCAAATATTCAGGAGCTTTTTACCAAGAGCTAAGTTATCCGCAGACGTCTCTTCCTCTTCAAAACAAATGGAGCTGGTGATTTAAACCAGTAAAAACACTGAATAAAGCAGATAACATAAAAAAAAAAAAACAACTTCCTAATGCTCTCGTCACAGAGGGGCTTCTAACTACCATGGCCAACACGAAAACATGAATGGAGAGCCAGTGTTTGGTTTGTCTGATCTGCGCAACTTTACCAGTGGACGAGGACCTGCTCCTGGTGTGGATATAAACGGCTTACTCTAAGGTAACAAACACACAATGATTCAAATCTTCAGGTGATTTTCGACAAAAGAAAACACATATTATATTTCATTTCTGCCAATATATCCCCCTAAATCCTGCACACTTGAGCTTTAAAAATAACATCACATCATTAATTGCTAAATATAATAAGTGTATATATTTTAAAAGAGCATATTACATTCTCATCTCTAAAGAGAGAACGGTACTTCCTCTAAATTCTGACACCAGACTTTTTAGGGCCACAAGGCTCAACCGGAGAACCAGTTCAGTCCAGAACAAGTAACTCATCTGCCTTAGTTGTTTCAGTACCGACTTAGTTGTATTCCATGTGTCCATAAATAGAGTGAAACTATTCAATAATAATAATTATGGCAACTAATATTTGAGAGAATGATTTGGAGCCCCAAAGGCTTGATTGAACATGTTGAGGAACTCTTGTTCCGTGGTTTGTCAACCTATTACATCACAGTATGGTTTCTGAGTGCCCTCAGTGCAACACTTTTCTCAATGTCTGATGTGATTTGTGGCATTCATAGTATGGTTTTGTTGTTTGGTTAACTGTTTTGTAATTTAGTATTTACGTGTATTTATGTGAAATTGTTGACGTCTTGGAAGCAAGACAAATTTCAGATTTTCTTTCTGATGATAAAGTGAAATTAAATCAATCAGTCAAACCAAACAAGAATACAGACATCAGCTTATATTCATAGCTTTTTCTCATTTTAATTTAAAATAGATTTCCTTCAGTTTGCATATCAGTCATTGGGATCATTTACATAAAGCTTCTGAATAGTGAAAACAGTATTATTACTGATTTCCTGCATGATACACCAACCAGCAGGTAGAGGCAGTTGTCGATGAATGAATTAAAAATATAAATCATGATCAATCTTCATGTGCTGTAGTCTTGGATTCATTGTCTTATGAGCTATTTCTTTCTAACAGACTTGTACGCTTGTTTGTTTACTCTGACAGTTTGGGGGAAACAGGTAAAACTGAAGGTAAACAAACATGATTTCTCTCATTAAGAAATAACTTACAGAATTGAGGAGCCTATTGTACCCATGAGACGATCTCAGTCATTAATAAATATGCAGCTGGTGAGACGCTGTGTAATCAGTGAGGCTATCCTGAGATGGTGATGATTGCATAATAAAAAGGTGCTGAGACCAGTCCTCTGTTCTTGCCGTTCAGTGTGGCCATCTTTCATCAGAGCCCTGGCGCTCCCAGTTGGGCTTTATCCCAGAACACGTCATCCGCTGTCCACACCTTCAGCAGAGCAGAGAGACTCCTCCAAGTCCCCTCAATCAGCTCACTTTACTGCCCATCAACCTTATCTGTGGAGAGGGGACAGAACTGTCACAGGTTGTACAGCCAACGCATCTGACCTCTACTTTGTCTTGATTAGGCCGACACTTAACTGTTTACAGCAATTGTAATTATCTGTCCCCTACAAACTGTTCTGTCTGTGAGCACTGTGGGGACACTTACATTTAGTCCACCTTGCCTATTAAAGAAATACATTGGACCCATGCAAACATCTCTAATTGGTTGCAGATTTATTTAATTAGGGGCACAAAAAAAATCTAAGTTTAGAGTGTGTCTGTTCCTTTCAATATTTGTTAAATAATTAGTGTACTTGAAATCTGTGTGCTCAATGGAAATGAGGAAAGATATTAAGACTGATACTGGCTTTTTTAAGCCGATACCAACATCATAAAACACATCAATGTGAGCCAATAGTCGCTTTTATACAAAAATACATAATATAATCAAACATTTTTAACAAGCATCGTTTAAATTTGTTTTTTTTGTGAAGAGTTGTGACATAGATATGTGCTGAATGTGACATTTTACTGTTAAAAGACAAACTTGTCTGTGCTGGTGGATAAATTTAATGTATACTGGAGACATATTTTTGGCATTTCTATACTGCAATTTCTTGTTGTTGTCAGTGGACAAGCATACTGCTACTTTTACTTGCATCTGCATGAGCTAATATCGGTTGCTGTATCGGCCCAGCTGATTTATCGGTCAAGCTCTACACGGCATCAGCTGTAAAACTGGTATTTCTGCATTCAAAGTGCCAGCATATCACAAAGTCAGTGTACCAGGGCAGAAACAGCAGCTGCAACCTGGTGTGATAAATTAACTGTTGTACCTTTAGGGACGAACTTCAGTGAGCTGCTGAATATTCAGAAGCGAGACAGGCCTTTGGCTGGCCCATCATTCACAAACTCATGGCCGAGTCCATTTCCACATTTCCCACATCGTACCTGGAACAAGACACCAGACATCTGAATCAGGATTGTGTGCATTTCGATATAGTCAGCAGTTATGCGTTAATCACTACTACTCGCTACCATTAGCCACTGTACCACTGTACCTTGTATGCCCCAGGTCTCTCCTTATGTTTAGATACACTATTCTCATGGATGGTCTCTGTGAAGGCCGGCCAGGGGGACGAGTGTTCGTACTTGGAGCGGCTGGTGAACAGCTGGTGATCACACTTGGAGCACACGTAAATCCCTGAGGAGTAAAGGATAGAAGATGAGTGTTGGTTTACAACATGAGGAGGGAACTTGTTTTGGATGAGCCTGGCACAGACTTGACATCAAGGTATCAATGATAACAACTGTGGCAAATAGCATAAATATGGGGAAACTGGAGTGGTCTAGTTTTACTAATGAAGACGTTAAGAAATATACTTCACATGCAGACACTTTGCTGGGAAATACTGAACTGACTAAAGATGCTATAAGATGTGGTAATGTGAAGTGTAGTAACCCACAACACAGTATTGATTTATGTGGGGTTTTTTTTAGTCTATTGTGAAGTCGCTTCATATCACCAGTCAGCCTTTTTATGAACCTGAGTCTCAGAGATATAATATCAAGCCTGGCTGGAATGAGTATGTGTCAGAGCTCCGAGCCGAAGCTAGAGCAGCATTTAAAGCATGGGTAGAGACAGACAGGGGCCCTTTGTTTGAACAGAGGAAACATGCAAATGCAAATGAACAAGGAAGAAGAATTCTATGAGATCTGACTCATTGGCTAAAAGGTTGCAAAATAATAGTTATGATGACTTCTGGAGAGAGATTGGAGCTACAAATAACTGCAAAATGTCCTTACAGGCATACATTGATGGAGCCAGTGGTTCAGATTAAATCTCCCAGATGTGGCAGCAACATTATTATGAACTGTTTAAACATATTAAGAAGAATACTTTTGATGTCGGTATTATTGATTATGATTAATATGTCGTTTTAATATAGAGATAAAGAGGTTCACTCTGCTGTTGTGGTTTTAGGTGGCAATAAAGCATGTGGTGCTGATAAGATAACTGTTGAACATCTAAAATATGCTGCCAAAAAACTTTGCCTTTGCTTGCTATCGGTTTTGCTGGATTTAAGTTCATGGAACTCTGCCTGACTTCTTCCCATCATGTGTTTTATTAATGCCTGTTATTAAGGACAAAGCTGGCAAAATAAATAGCATGGGCAATTAAAGGCCTATAGCAAGAAGCGCTTGAGAGAATTCTCCTGAACACGTTGGAAACAACATCACTACCACTGACAAACAGTATGGTTTCAAATGTAAACATGGCAGTGATGTGCACTTTTGCTTTAAAGGAAATTTTAGATAAATATAATCATCAGAACTCAACAGTGTTTTTGTGCTTCACAGATGCCTCTAAGCTTTCAATTGCATTAATCATCAGTCTATGCAGGTTAGATGGTGGGGCTCTGTATCTGAACCATTTCATGTCAGTAACAGAGTTCGAAAGGGCAGCATTTTGTCTCCTTTTCTTTTATAATGTGTACATGGAGGACTTGTCCCAGCAGTTGAATGCATGTGATACAGGTGTATGGTCAGCGATAGTTTAATAAATCATCTTATGTATGCAGGTTATTTGGTAATCTCCTGCCCACATAGTGCTGGCCAACAACAGCTGTTGAAGATTTGCTCTGACTATGGCTGCAGACAATTATAGCGCCAATAAAAGCAACTTTATGATTGTTTGAAGTACAGTAGACAGAAAATTAATATTTTCTTATATTGCTCTTACAGTGTGTAATGAGATGAAATATCTCGGCCACTATACTGTCAATGATTTATTTGATGATACAGATATCCACAGACAGTGTTGTTAATTGTACATGCAAGCTAATATGCTTGCTCGCAAATTCAGCATGTGTTCAGTGGATGTGAGGACAGCTCTGTTTAGAGCATTTTGTACCCTGCTGTATACTGCCCACATGTGGCTCTCCTACAGGAAGAGCAACATGCAAAGACTTAATATGGCCTAAAATGATGGAATGGGACTGCTTCTTAGACTTATGAAAAGTTTGTAAATGTCGGTGTTCCTACCTGCCCTACTTTAATATCAAATCTCATATATCGATATATGTGCAGCTTCTCTGTTTAGCTGAGCTCAGTCAGGCTTTCATCGAGACTGTGGGGCCACTGGCTCTCCAGCTTGTTTGTGGGTGCGGTTAATTCAATTTTATCTTTTTTATATGAACTTGCATAATGTAGTGTTGGATATTTCCTGGCTTTTCTTATATATTATGTTTCTTATATTGCATTTTGGTACATCGATACCAAAATGCAATATCTTTGTGTCCTTAATAAGTCATTAATAATATTATTATTATCATCATACCACCTAATGGTTATTTGTTGGTATCCTTTTATCTGTAACGGTAGAAATAATTTTTTATTGATTGTGTTGCATTTATAGTTGTTTAAATGTGTATTTTTCAGAGGAAGTCCAACTTCTCACTTACTGGAAACAACCACTTTTGGAACATAGTTATTGTGTAACCTGAGCAGGGTTACAAAACTTGACAAGCCACCAATATATTTACTTATTATTATATTAACTACGTTAACTAACTTAGGTCAAACTCTCCATGACGTTTTTATTGGTAGTTACGGCCTGCATGGACAGGAGTGGATGATTTAGCTCGAGCCAAACGATTTTTAAGTTATTTTGGGTCACAATGACTAGTTAGCTAACAGCGGCTAGCTGGTTATCTTTAACTACACGTTAACAACACGGCATAAGTTAAGCCGACATTTTGAATGAAGTACAAGAAGTTAAAGTAATGACGGTACCTGTTTCGAAATGGTCTTTATAGACCTCTCCACCGAAGAAACTGCAATACGACATCCCTGTATTCTCCACGCAGCGTGTTTATCCGGCTTCTTCACGGAGCAGTTTAAACTTCTCTGGACCAGCAGGTAGCAGCAGCGTTCCGCTGGTAACAATACAGAATCCGGTTTATGTCCGGCCTTCAAAATAAAAGCAGAGAGCTTCAAAGTATTAATTGTGTGCCACATAATCATGAACTGGTAAGATAACATATACACTTAATGAAAACACTTTTCACTCATACAGATAATGTATGTCCATGATTGATAGCAGCACAGGATGTGTAGTATTTTAACTATAACAACATAGAAATATACAAATATTATTGTGCTTTAACTTAGACCTGTTGTCCTTGTACATGGAGACTTTTTTTGTGCCATAAGTATTAAGTCCGAAGTCGACTGATGTCAAGCCAGGAAAAAATAAATAATTAAAAAAAGATCAGTATAATAATAATTTTATTTATAAAGCACTTTTCAAGCCATGCACAAAGTGCTTTCCAAAATATAACAAACAAGCAAGCAACACAAAAACAAGCAAACACAAAAGACAATAAAACAATAAAAACCATGAAACATAATATGTGATTAACTGTAGGCCATAGTGTAGAAGTGAGTTTTGAGAAGGCTTTTGAAAGTTGTGATAGAATCTGTTGATCTTATACAGAGGGGAAGACTGTTCCATAAGCGAGGGGCCATCACAGAGAAAGCACAGTCACCCTTTGTTTTTAATCTTGAGTGAGGAACCATTAATAAATTTTGCTCCTCTGAGTTCAACGGTCTGGGTGGTGAGTACCGCATTAGAAGTTCTTTTATATATTCTGGGGCCAGACCATGAATTGCCTTATGGGTGATTAATAGAATTTTGAACTGAATTCTAAAACTAACGGGCAGCCAGTGCAAAGATGCTAAGATTGGTGTGATATGACATGACCTTCTTGATTTGGTTAATAATCTAGCTGCTGAATTCTGAATAAGCTGTAGTTGTGAAAATGAATGAGAATTTAAGCAGGTAAAGAGTGAGTTACAATAGTCCAGGTTTGATGATGTAAAAGCGTGAATAACTTTTTCTGTGTCGTTGTAACTGAGCATGCGTCTGATCTTTGAAATATTTCTTAACTGATAGAAGCAAACTTGAGTTGTCTTTCTGATGTGGTGTTCAAAGGATAAGTTACTGTCGAAAGTTATACCAAGGTTCTTTGCAACTGGTTTAGAGATAATGACATGAAAAGTTTCTGGTGTTGCATCAGTATGTTGCTATGAGTGAGACCACAAAACCCTAATCCATTGGCTGCCATGTCTGCCATGTCAATCCTGACTGAAAAGTGGACATGGTACAAAACCTGATCACATTGTATGTTTGAAACTTGTTTATTTATGATTAATATTGTTTGTAGTTTGATATGGCATAAGAATTTGACCAGTTATAACAAAAGGCACAAGCTAAGACACTGTTAATTAAGAGTACTTGTCATTGGGACTTTATTATCATATTATTGCGGCATTTCACACAGGCCATTCAGATGTGACGGACTGTTCCTACAGACAAAAAAGACATTCCTAGCTTGCAGAATGGAGCAAGGAAAATTCAGTAGTTTTTTGCACAGCCATGTTCAGGCATTGAAAGGAACAGTGTTATACTTTATGACACACTTATGACTATTAAAAATAAACCCATCACCCCCCTATGAAGACATCTTTTTATTTAAAAAAAAAACAACTATTTACTGTTCAAAGACAATGCTTAGTTTTTATACTTATCAGGTCCTTTTCATCCAAAATAACTTGAAGAAATTAAAAATGCAAACCAAACAAAAGCTGGGGTCTCAGGAGGATAAATTAGCAAATTAGCTGTCGTGTTGTAAGTGTTGGGTGATGGGAACAGAAACAACAACAGCGTTATATTATTTTATATTGTATTGTTAAGACAGCTGTCTTGTTTTACAGTGTTTGATCAAATTAATTGATAAATTCTGCATTATTAAAAATGCTATTATGAATTAAATAATTGCAGTCATTTAGACAACTATTTAACTTGAAGTAAATATAATAATATAGTGATCATTAAGTTGCCAATTCATTGCCTAAATCCATTTATTCTATTTACATTTGTGTCTTCATCCCAGAATTCATGTTAGCCAACATGCTGATAATATTGGCACATCATTGATATCAGCAAATATCGGCTTTAAAATGGACTATATGAATGGGCCAACATGCTTTTTCTTATTTTGGACAATGAATGAATATTATATACTTTGAAAGGCATAGTATTTCATGTCTTCATCTGCTGGTGGGCCATCACGATAAGAGTATGCATGCATAATATGAAGTTAATTCCACTACAGAAGAGACTTAATGATCACTAAAATTAGGTGGGGGGAAAAGTGGATATATCAATATCGGTACCTACCAAAAAAGTTGTTATATGTTGGCATATTGGATATTGGCAAAAAATCCAATATCGTGCATCTCTTGCATATAGCACAGGCTAGTGAAGGTGTTTTATGCTTAGATATGCTTATTCACAGTATCTTTTGTTCATCCAATAATAATCAGTGTTCTCTTGCATGCCCAGATCCAAAGCTTCAACTAAAAAAGCTTTTAGTTTGAGTCCAGTTTCTAATTATTTAGTTTATTTTTACAGTCTATGGGTTTAGTGTAACTTTATTTGTGCTATTTTATGTCTTATATTTATCCTTTAGTGCCCATGTTGTGATTGATGTGGCTCGGTTGCCGTACAGTACATCCTCCATATCTATTTAAAATTGACGCTTTTATTTTGAGCGACTCAAACAGGAAGTCACTTTGTGTCGGCGCCGGGAAGCTACACCGGCTAACGTATCAAAAGCTACAGCTTCGCCGTCGAGCTAGGCAAGCTGAATGTAGCTTCCCACTATCCACCTGATGATCGTTAATATTTTTGTGCCGTAGCTCTCCTCGGAGACATGGACGCCACAGTGTTTGAGCTAAGGTTGTTCATTCATCAGCGGCTGCACTCAGCGGCAGAGGAGATCCTCGGAGAGGTGGAGAAAGCTATAACGTTAGCTTTGAAGGAACCTCAAGTTAGTCGGTCCCAAGAGGAGGCTGGAAGTCTGCGACACCAGCGAGAGAAAACAGGTTTGGGACTTTGTTTAAATGTGCTGTGTAGTGGTGTTTTGAGTTCATATTGCCTGACAAATCTCTGTATTTAGCTAGAGTGTGGTGGCGGAACAAATTTCTACAAAGCTAAGGATGTTGCGCCTCACTTATCCACAGCAAAGGCTCTGTCAGAAAGACCTTTTTCCCTCCTCTATGTTGAACATCAAATTTGCAATAAAAAGGCAGGTTAAACTGATAATATTTAAACCCTTATGTGTCTGAGTAGTAAAAAAATATCAGAAATAAAAGTACTACATATAAGAAATGAGAAAATAGTACATATTTTGTAACTAATAAGCTTAAACTATAAAGTATTATGAATGTCAAGGTTAGAAGATTCAAGTCATACAAATTTGTAAATATTTCACCTCTTAGCAATTTTATAAGCAAGTTTTAATCTCATATTTCAGGGACTTACACCTGAAACGTGTGGAGATAGATTTGTCTCAATATTGTGTGAACAGATTGACAATCCATGTGTTAATGTGTAAGCTCTAACTGTAAGACACCTTCCACTATACAAAAAAAAATTGTGAATCAAAACGTCTCTGCAAACAGATCCAGAAATACACAAATAAATTCCACAAATTAGTTTTTAATTTTGAAATTCAATTCTCTGATGGCATTTTATGCATAATTATTCGTTTTTTGTTTGTTTGTTTTATTTTTTATTGTTTTTGTAAATTTTTTGTGTATGTGCAGATCTTTTTTGTATTTGCAAAATATTTCTGAGACTTCACAAATATTTTTAAAATTTGTGGAAGTTGTTTCATATGTCTAGATTACACATTTACACACAGATTGTGTTTCTATATTTGCAAAATTAGTTTTTGAGTTGACAAATCTTTTTCTGTAAGACAACAGCAGATGAAGCGCTCATGTGGGTTGCAGTATCATGGTATCCAGGAAGGTGCTCTTTGGTCAGGAAGTGCAGTACATCTTGAAAAAACAAACTCCAAGGCAACTCTTCTCTGGTGCAAAGGTTAAAAGGCCTTTATTAAATGGCTAGTTCATGATGAACATTAAAATCACCGACATGTTTCGGCCATGCTCACTGGCCTTCATCAGGGCATGATTGGCTCCACCCATGTCTGAGTAGGGCCTCATTTAGGCCACCTGTGAACCCTGCAGCTTTATGCCCTGATCATGAACTAGCCATTTAATAAAGGCCTTTTAACTTTTGCAACAGAGAAGAGTTGCCTTGGATTTTGTTTTTTCAAAATCTTTTTCTGTATTTGCGGAACTTGTTTTATTTATACAGAAGAAAGGTCTCAGGTTTTTTTTTTTTTAATTAAGCCAGAGTTACAGTCTGTTTACCCACTGGCAATAAAACACTATTAATGCACGTAAAAAGTCACATACAGTATCTTTAATTTTTAATCTAGTACACAGTATGCAGTACATCCTGATTGAGTAGAAACATTTGAATATTGCGCAGCTTCGGAGTAGTATGAATTTAATTAGGGTTCTAACCCCGAAGGGGTAGAACCCTTCTAAGATTGTACCGGTTTATTATTATTATTATTATTATTATTATTATTATTATTATTAGGGTTCTAACCCCTCAGGTCCATGCCTTGATTTACCAGCGATAACCCAATTTTTTAAAGTTTTTCTGGCTTGCTGGTGGAGTTTATCCACATACTCATTCCAGCCTTGCCTGAAGCTGTACTTTTTTGCTTTTCTCTGAATGAGTGGTTTACTAGCCTCATTCAGACCCTGCACAATTCTGTCATATAGTACACATAGCTCTTCTTTGTGATTTGGCATACCACAGTTGAAATTATCACACATTATAGCATCATATGGAATTTCAATGTTACCTATGGTCTTCTCAGTCAAGTCATGATAATGTAGCAGGTCGTTCTCTGAGAGTTTAGCCCACTCAATTTTCCCACCATGATTAACCTGATTATCATCCGTGGTCATTGTAGGTAGGTTTTCTACATTGAGCATAATGGAGACAGGCATGTGGTCCATTGTTGCAAACCCATACAAAATCTCAACTTTATCCACACATTCATGGGCATCAGCTGTGCTTACACAATGATCTAGCCAGGATGTTGTATTCCAAGCCTCACTGACATATGTATAGCTATCTGTTGGCAAATGGATCTTACTTGTTAACAAGAGCTTATTATCATGACAAAATTCAACTAGGTATCGGCCAAACACAGACTTCCTATCAGAGATATCTGCATTCAAATCACCCATTACATAAATACGGGTACATTCATTTTCCTCAATAAAAGAGCCAATAAAAGCAAGCTTTTGAAGATATTCGTCCTCGTTACTGGAACATTCATAAGGTGTGTAAACATTCAAAATGATAAGAACATTACCATTATAAGAAACTTTTATTGCAACACACCAGTCTACTCTCAATCTAATCACACTGATCAGAGGGTCATATTTTTTATGCCACATAATGGCCACACCTCCAGGTATTCTGCCTTGAACCAACCCCAAGCTCAAATCTGTGGTTGACTCCCCCACCCCATGGAAGTTACTATGAACAGAGTTAAGCTTGTCCAGGTCCTGTTTAGCAAGAAAAGTTTCTTGTAGACAAAGAATGTCAGTTTCCTCAAGGAGTTTGTCAACAACAAGTCGCCGTGCCTTATCCGCTGCATTGTGTCCTAGACGCAGGCCGCGTGTGTTATATGACACAATTCTCATGAGAAGTAGACAAATCTTATGCATGTCACCCAAGTAAGCAGCGATGGACGAAATGATTACTGCATGTCATTTACCCAAGCTTTCTCTTTACATCATGTTTCTCTCCACTCTCCTTTCTGCTTACATGTATAACTCCTTGTATGTTCACACAGTTGATCCTGGGTTCCAACTCCAATGTAGTTACTCAGTCTTGTTAATCATTAATGATATGGTGCAGATTTTAAGTTTAATACTATTATGGCCAGGACAGTCTGACAGACTGACAAACAGACATTGCAGGTCTCTCTCACTCTGTGAGTTTTGCTAATATTTGATGACTTCCCATCCTACAACATAAGTGAAACAAACATGATGTCAGGACATTTTTTACCCTTGAAGAGGGCGGCACATGTAGGCCTATTTTAGATTTAGTAAAATGCCACAGATTAGCCTATGTTTTTGGAACTTCACCTGGTTGAACAATATGGTAAATAGGCCTACTATCATTTTGATTTCATTTGATTTGGAAACATAAAACATTACATAACATTTTTATAGACTAGTGGTTGTTCAGGTGGGGTTAAGAAAGATAAACACAAAAAGCAATGTTGTAGGAATTGAGCAGAGAGAAAACAATGACATAGAGTACTGGGCCTATCCTATTTGTACCTAGCTAATGCATCTGGGTCTCGTTTCAATTTGGTTTTTCCGTAATTTGGTTTTGAAAGAGAAAACGGGAAAACGGAAGCACTTCCGTTATTTCGTTTTGTGTCTCAAAACGGAATAACGGGAAAACGGCCGTATTTCCGTAAATCCGTTTTATTTTGAAAACAAAATATCAAACTATCAAAAGGTACACGGACCCTCACTACCACATAATACCACTTCATGCAAATGAAGCTATTATGTCATGTTTGAATAAAAAAGCCTGCATGTGCACATGTTGCTATAGTTATGTGACTTTTGAGGTCACGTGAATATATTTAGAATGGTTTGATAATTTGCCACTTAGACCATGGGGAGGAGACCAGCTGAGTAAACTGATCTGTGGATGAGAAACTTGCAACTGAAGAAGTTACCCCCACCCCCCGGCCTAGACACTGGGGAAGGTAGGGAATCTTGAGGTCACCGGATGAGGGAACTTCTGGGTTGAAGATCCAGATTAAGACAGTCTGTATCTTGATGGAGGTGGTGCAGGGGTGGAGGTGGGCTGGGAGTTTTGCTGAAATGACAGCTGGATGACAGCAGAGAGAGAAATTTGACAGCTAATGACGGATTGGTAGAGAACAGGGAGAGGCTGGCAGACTGTGACTTGTTGAAATATGTGAAGAAGGGTGGAGCAAGAGGATAGTGGGAAAACAGAGAAGTGGCTTTGAGGTATACTTACGTAAAGAGATGATCTTCCTGTCTGAACTTTCACTTACCTTCATTTAGGTAAAATCATAATAGTACACTCACATCTGTGTCTTTAGCCTTACAGAATATTTTACAGCCTCTCCCATACACATCCATTATTATCTCCAGATTTCTCCCAAAATTATCATGATCATGGAACTGTGATTGCTTAAACATTAAAATACCTATTGAAACTTTGAAATACGCATCAATAGGTAAAATTTCAATTTATGTTTTGATGTTCAAATGGAGTCTCTATGTGAAAGTATACCACAAATGTTATTAGCATGTAGGCTAGCTGAAAACCCGATTTCAAGAAATGTGTGACTTGGAAAGAGTATGTATTGTTTGGAGCTTTCAGGGACAGAGTGGGGAACGTCTTGCACTACGGCAGATGAGGGTCACGGTGGGTGGTGAGGGTCACGGTGGCTGGTTTGGGGGCGGAACAGGTTAGAACCCGCAGATTGCCGCTTGCGGCTATATTTAATATGTGTTTTTCTTTTTGAACTTGGAAAGGAAACTTTTCAGGCTGTTGTGTAACTCTTGATCCTGTCTTTCTTTTGCAGCTGCAGAGCTGTCACTGACCAGCAGCACAGTGGAACATGGAGATGAAGGTGATGCCCCACTGCTACAGGAGAACCAAAGACCCTCAGCACCAGAAGAGTCTAACTTGAGTCTTCGTGCTGATGTCACAGGATCCCCTAAAACCAGCGCAGATGTGGACAATACTAACTTGAGCTACTGTTTGTTTCAGACAGACTTTAGGATATGTGAGATAAAAGAAGAGCAGGAGCAACTTGAAGTTGACAGTCAAACACAGGAGATGGTTTTTCCTTCCCCTGAAATTGTGAAAAGCGAGCAAGTTCAGCTAGAGATACAAGTATCAAATGAGCTGCAGCCATTCTCCTCAGACATCTCTCCAGCTCAGAGTGAGAACAATGACCCTGATGAGGATTTGGTGAAGAGCAAAGGACAACAGACCAGAACAATGAAAAGGAAAAGAAAGAAATATCAAGGACAAAGTGGCAGGGTCACAAAGAGGAAAAAAGCAGCACTGCCTCCTAACACACATTCTGCTGAAAGTGAAAAGCAACAGACTTTTTGCCATCTCTGTGGCAAGAGTTTTTATTATATTGGCTTTTTGATGAAGCACATAAAAAGCCATGAAGCCAAATTTGACTGCACCATTTGTAGGATGAAATGCCAGTCTGCAAAGCAGCTGGTAGCTCATTTGAAAAGCTGGCACAACCAAACATGTGTTTGTAGGTTTTGTGGCAAGATTTGTGCCAAATTCGGGTTTCTCCGGATCCATGAAAAGACACACAAAGGCAAGTTTGTGAACAGTGTCGACATCTTTTTGCATTTTGGAAAACAGATGGGGTACAATTCAGTCAGTTGTGGTCTTCTATTTTTTCTCATTTCCACTCTCTGAATGCATTGATATGCAAATTTTGCTTTTCTCGAGCCAACTGGTTCTTTCCTTCAGTTCCTCATCCTCCTTTGTCAGTGTCAACAATTTTTGCAGTCTGTCATCTCCACATTGAATGCCATTGAACTACATTTTTCGGTCTGGTTTATCAAAATGATCAAAGACTAGATGGTAGTCAGCAGGGTGGCATTAGATATGTGGTTGGACTGGTTGGCTTCTTTAACGTTTAGATGCCGTCTTACCCCTCACCCTCTGTTCTAAATCACATGCCAACATGCTAACATAGCCCTACTAACAGTGTGTTTCAATATCCATACTACTATTATATTATTTAGTATGCCAGAAAAAGATTTGGTATGCCCCAATTCAGAGTATGTCAAATGTATTGTGCCAAAAATACCAGGATGTCCGACTGCAGCCTGTTGCATTTTGCAGTATGCAAGCCGGCATGCTTTTCTGGCTGTTCTGATCCACAGTCCTCTGCACAGCGTTAGATTTGTTGCATTGACTGAGCCGCAAACAGATGACTGCTCTTTGACAGCTGATAGAAGCTGCAATGATGGATGACGCCACATTCATGTGAATAGTGAGCACTCAAATAAATAGTGACAATAGGAATAGAAATTGTTAAAGTAAACAAAATAATCATAAAGTCGAATTTTGCTTTGCATCTCCAAGGTAACATGAAGCAATAACATTAAGCAAGAGGGTCAAAGTTGAAAGCACAGTGTTAGGACAAAGTAGCATGTTCCAAACGAATGTATACTCCATGCAGCAGTACAGTGATAGCAAAAAGAAAGTTTGATGTAAAAGGATGTATATAGTGCGTTTTTGTGTATATGAGAAATGCCTGGACGTATACTTGACTAGCAAGAATTTCTGTATATGCGGCCAGAACTTAAGTCTCCCCCAAAATGAAATAAAAACACTTTTTATTCAACAGTAGCTCTACCGTCAGGATCTATACTGTCAGTAATTAAGTAAGTATTATGCAGTAATTATTGAGCGTGAAGTGCGCAGTATTAGCCTGAGTGTCAGACTGAAGCTCCCAAAACCTTCAGTCTGACATCGCCTCCATTGAAGGCGATTTACAAGGGGGAGGGAATTTGATTTTTCCCTAACCAATCAGTAGAGATCAATGACTCACCCAGAATCTGACGTCATTAGTATCCATGCCTCGGGGGTGCCGAAAACAAGCGAGCAGTTTAGCAGCTTCCTTAATTTGGTCCTCCATTAACGCGAGTAGTAGCGAAATAACTCGATAGCATCGTTAATGTGGTCTGTAGGATCTGTAGCCGTCGCCATTGTTGCTATCCTCACCAGTTACCCACCGGCGTACAGCTTGACATCAGCGTGGCGCTGATTGGCTAATCGCTAGACCCGCCCCCACCCCCGGCGTTCATTGGTCCGTCCATCATTTGGACAAGATAAATCACAAATTCATTGCAGTATGCCAGACCAGAGATGCAAGCCTACTCAGTTGAGTGGGCGGGGTCTATGGTCTGGAACCAGGCTAGCGCAGTATGTTAGTATGTGATTTCGTATAGAGCCCAGGTACTGAACAAACTCTGCAGCAGCAGCAGATGAAATATTTGAATATTGCACATGTTCAGAGTAGTGTGGGCAACACTTTTCATCAAACAGTCCATGCAAATTGTAGTTTTTCATATTGAGTGTATAGTTTAGAAAAATGACTCTTGAAATGGAAGCACTGCAGGCCGGTGGGTAACTTTGGCTTCTGTCTCTTTGCAGCTGAAGAGCTGTCACTGACCAGCAGCACAGTGGAACATGGAGATGAATGTGATGTCCCACAGCTGCAGGAGAACCCAGGACCCTCACCACCAGAGGAGCCTGACATCAGTCTGAGTGCTGAGGTCCTGGAATCCTCTCAAACAGGCGCAGATCTGGACAGTAGTAACCTGAACTACTTTTGGGTTCAGACGGACTTTAAGATGACTGACATAAAAGGAGGGCAGGAGGAACTTTGGGATGACGGTCAAACTCAGGAGATGGTTTTTCCTCCTCCTAACACTGTGGAATGTGAGCAAGATCAGCCAGAGACAGGAGCATGTGAATTGCAGCCACTTAGTTCAGACTGCTCTGCAGCTGAGAGCAAGAACAATGACAATGATGCGCAGTTGCTTAACAGCAAAGGAGATCAGACAATAAAACAGAAAGGGCAAAGTGTCAGCAAGAATGAGATGGACCAAGCAGCGTCACGGCATAACAAAAGTTCTGCTAAAAGTGTTAGGCCTTGCCATTTTTGTGGCAAGGGATTCCAGTACATCGGCCCTTTGATGAAGCACATAAGAACACACCAGCAGGAAAATGATTGCACTGCTTGTGGGAAAACATGTCCGTCTGCACTGGAACTCATTAATCATGTGAAAAGTGAACACAAAAACATACACATCTGTCACGTTTGTGGCAAGTGTTTTGACAGTCGCCGTTCTTGCGGGTTGCATGAAAGAATGCACTCAAACAAGCAAACAAGTGTCAAGAATGTGGCAAGACATTTCACTACAGAGGGCACCTGACTGTGCATGAGAGGACCCATACTGGGGAGAAACCATATGAATGTGATATATGTGGAATAGCATTCAGCCAGAGCCAGAACCTTAAGATTCATAAAAGAAGTCATTCAGGTGAGAGACCGTATCCTTGTGACCTGTGTGGCAAAAGGTTTTATAGTAGAGGCCAACTTGCAACACACAAGAAACACCATTAAGAAGAAGAAACGTAGCCATGTGATACTGGTGGTAAACGTTCTAGCCAAAGGCCACAGATAACTAGACAAAGGACCACTGTGAAAGATACACCTCAAAGTTAAACACAAAGGCTGTCAGTGGCCTGAGTTCCTATCAGTTGTCCTCTTCTATTGGCCCAGAACCTTGTTGCTAATTTTGTACTTTGTGTTCTATTTTTGGTTAAATAAATCCTTTTTTTTAAAAACCCATCAGTGACTCCTCATGACTGCCAGCTCCATCCCTAACATGGGCTTTTAGCTGTTTGAAATTCAGTCGTCTTGTTGAACTGCCTTTCAAATCGTACATGCTGTCTGTGACCACGCACACGTTGGATATAGAAGTATGAGGCGTATTTTAGTTGACGAAATGCAAAGACATTTAACTTTACAGTATTCATTTAAAGTAGCCTATTAATTTAAAGACAGACTAAAGAATGGATAAAGTGCAGGCCAGTGGAAATGTTTTGACCATAAACTGTCTAAAAAAATGGATATGGCTACCATGACATCATTCATTGGATTGTGGACTCCTGTTCTGAAGCCACAAGTTCAGCATTTCAGCTGTCACCATCCTGGTTTTATGGAGCCAGTAGTGATCATATTTGGACGAGAGGCTGGAGCTGTGAAGGTGCGAGGGGTGAATCTTTAAGCTTTGAGAAAAAGTAAATGAGTGAATTACATACAAAATGAACATACATATTAAAACCATTTTTTGTACCAGGCTGATGTTTATTTCTGCCGTAAAGTTGGGTGGGCAACATGAGTGTCTCTAGGGATTTACTCACTTCTTGAGCCAGTCTCAAGTGGCCATTCACAGAACTGCAGTTTTTGGCTCTTGGTGTTGGCTTCATTTTCAGCTACGGAGGTTGAGTCTTGTTTTTTGTTTGTTTGTTTCAGTTAAGATACGATGTCTTCTGGGCCCAATTTCAGAAAGCAGGTATAGCAAACTCTGTGCCTAATCGTGATCTCTGTGTTGACTGAGCCTGAGCTGGGTTCCAGAGCAGCGGATCAGAATCGGCTCAATCAACCCTGAGTATGTTCAGCCTGATGGAAGCGCCGTCATGGTGAGCGCCAAAAGCCATCATCAGTGGAGTGCAGATGACTTGATTTTCAATGGCAGGAAGCAGAGTTAAATGCAGAGCCATATATTTTATCCTAACTGAATTGGAGCTTTTAATGACTGCGTATGTGGACTTAGAACATGTCAGCTGCAGCCAAACAGCTTGAGGTGGGATGGGAAAAGACTGCAGAGCTTGTTAATAGGTGATGTGCAGTGACATTATGTATGATGTGCAGTGACATTATGTAATGGGATGCATTAATGTGTGTTAACAGTGTTCATGTATTTGAATATAATTTGCAACATCTTCTTATTCAGCTGTAATCTGATTGAGCCCAAACACACTGGGCAGCAACTCAAAATCAAACGCAAAAATATTGCACAGACTGGTAAGAAATTTTGCTTATCCTTGATTCATTCTTGCAATATTAGGCTGAGGTTAATTGAATTGCTGAATTGCTGTCGTCTTTATTCTCAGATGGAGCTACAATGGGGATGTGAGTCCCATAACTAAGTTTTTTAATCTTTAAATATATGAAAAGTATTCATGAATCATTGCATCATGTGTCCATGTAGATTAATTTCTTGGGACTAATTTCTTCTTAACACTGACAAACCTGCAATTTTCTGGAATTCCTCTTTGATAATCTGTTCTGATTTATGCCCAGGGAAAACCACAAAAATAGGCAAAAGTCTTTTCAGAGCCAGAGTCACTTTTCTTACGGCCCGACAAATCGTTGCCTCATTGATGTGTTCAGTGTCTCTGATGTTATAAAGAAAACTGCTGCTGCCAAAGAATCGAAGGGCAATGCATAACATTTGCTTGAATGATAATGCAAATCCATGATGTGTATTATTTGATATATCTGGGAGGAGAAGATTGTTAAGATAAATGAAATGGTATCCTTCATATAGACACTCTTCTGGGAACGATAAGACATCCAAACTGGGTCTGATCACCATCTCCTCACACAACAGCCTCTGAATAATTTGTGCCTCAACATCCATGCATTTATTCACAAAAGCACACGCTGTGTCTCTCCTTCCTGCTATACACTCAGCAGGGGATCAGCCTCAGGCTTTGATGAAGCAAACCTGGAGTATGTTGCCATAGTAACTGACTCAGGGTTACGCTGAACTGGCTTTGTGAAACTGAAAACTCAGCGTTTCCCTCATCTCAGGCTTAATATACTCAGAGTTTTCACTAATTCCGCTTTCTGAAATAGAGCCCTGCTCATCCAATAGTGATTAGTGTTCTCTTGCACATTCAGATCCAGAGTTATAATTTAAAAAATGTTAAACTTGTGCTACCAATTGTAAGCAAATTACTATATTGTTGTTAATATACAGTTTTTATAACTATACTATAGTCCTACTTTTTGTTGACTTAAGTTTCTGATTATTTAGGGTGAATTTCGATGGTGTCTTTGCTATTTTATTTCCTATATACATCCTTCAGTGCCTTTGGGTTGTTGTGATTGATGCGGTCGGCTTTTACTCTGAAAGATTCAAACCGGAAGTCACAATGCAGCTGCTAGCGGAAGTGGTCTGATGGCTTTGAGCGTGAATGAATCTCGCTGCTATCAAGCTACTATTGTTGATACTTTTGTTCCATCACCGGAGACATGGACACCAAAATGATAAAGCTGAGGTTGTTTATTCATCAGCGGCTGTACTCAGCGGCAGAAGAGATCCTCGGAGAGGTGGAGAAAACTATAACGTTAGCTTTGTGCCAACCTGAAGTTAGTCGGTCTGAAGAGGAGGCTGGAAGTCTGCGACACCAGCGTGACATCCAGCGAAAGAAAGCAGGTGTGGGCCTCAGGTTAAATGTCGTATAGATGCGTTTTGATCTCACGGTACCATATCAATCTGTATGTTTATCTAGTTGTGTAATAGTAATGGTAGGAATTTGGTCCATAGCTGATGGTGAAGTTTGCTGCCTGGGTACAGACCTGGGAATCAATCCGCCCCTCCCACCTTTGTCTCCTGTCAGGAAACAGTGTTGACGAATGGTCCTCCATCCTTTGCATCTCTCACTGTTGTGAAAGCATGTTTGAGATTTAGATAAAGCCTTAATGCTACAGGCTGTGAAACCTTTGTTCTGTTTGGGGTGTTTCAGTGTGGTTTTCAAAACTAGATAGGATTTCGTTTATTGATGATTGATGGGTTGATTGTTTTCTCATTAATCAATTAGTTGTTAGGTTCATGAAATGTCAGATAATGGTGAAAAACTTCAGTTTTTTCCCCAAAGCCGAGGATGATGTCCTCAGGTGTCTTGTTTTGTCCACAACCCAATGGTATTCAGTTTACTGTCACAGAGGAGTAAAGAAACAATTAACAGGGTTCCCTCATGTTTTTACTGACAAAATATCATTTTTTAAAGATTCTTTTTTGGGCTTTTTAGCCTTTATTTGTTAGGACAGTGTAAAGAGTGAGGGGAGGTGGGAAGGCATGCCATGTAGGGATCGACCGATATGTTTTTTCCAGAGCTGATGCCGATACCGATTATTATGAAACAGAGATACCGATAGCCGATATTTACAACCGATATATGTCTGCTGTAAAAATCATAGTTGACACAGAATTAAAAAAAAAAAAAATAAACACTGACAAAGAAACACCAGAGGCAGGATAAAAACTCAGAATAAAGAACTACATTTTAGATCTTTCAATAAATAGGATAATAAATCAGTTAAAAATAAAGAAATAAGTAACAAGGTTGAAGAATATGCCAGCTAAATAAAAACAGATTAATAAAAATAAATAAATAAATAAAGTACTCAATAATCATAAATACAAAATTTAAAAAATAAAATGAAAAACAGTTAAAAAATACATAAAATAAAAATAAAATAAAGAAGAGCTCAATTAAAAGCCAGGCTTAAAAGGTAGGTTTTGAGTTTGCTTTTAAGAGCCTAGAGTGGTACGTGCAGGCAGTGAGAAGCATGCCAGGGGCAAAATAGGGCAGCTAAGGAAAACAAAACTGTATATCGGCATATCGGTGGGAAAAAAATCACAGATACTGATAACCCTAAAAATTCATAATATTGGCAGGCCGATTATCCGTCGACCCCTCATGCCATGCAGCAGAGAGCCTTATATTGAAATTGAACTTGCAGTCACTGTGGCAAGAACACAGCCTATGCATATTGGGCTCCTGTTCTACCAGTTGAGCTACTCAGCGCTACCAAAATATGAAAACCTGTCCATGACTATTCAAGGACCCATGGTAGTTTTATTTCCTTGCCCGATGTTATCAGTCTCAATTTATATTTAAGCATACTTTCAGCTAGCAGGCATACATTAAGGAAGAGACAAAGAAAATGAAGAAACATATGCTATGGCAAACAAATCTGTGTCACCCATCGGCATGGAGCTATGTGATGTCGTCAGCTGCAGACAATGATTGTACTGTTGTGTTACAGTACACGCAGGTTCATCCGTGGGAGATTACTGTAACAGTTCTGTCACACAAAACAAAATTCCAAAACTTTCAATGATTTTTATTGATTCCATGAGACCTGAAAAAATGTTTTCCATGACCATGAGAACCCTATATAATATATTCACATTTAAGAAGCTGGAATCAGAAATTTGCCTTTTTTGTTTCTTAAAAAACTACCCACATTATTTGGCAGTTGATATAATAGTTGACAACTTCTCAATTAATCAGTGCAGCACAACAGCAAGACCACACTGATCCAGGTCCAGATATTTTTTTAAAAACCTGCTATACCTAGACTTGTCAAGTCTGGACTAGATCATACCAAAGATTCTTTAATACGTTCCAGATGTGGTAAACCTCTATTCCTAAAATGACTTCGTTGAGTTGAGAACATTACATGCTGTTGCTCTTCTCTGTTTTGCAGCTGCAGAGCCCTCACTGACCGGCAGCACAGTGGAACATAGAGCCAAATGTGATGTCCCACCCTCAGCACAAGAAGAGCTTAACTTCTGTGTGAGTGCTGAGGTCTCGAGACCCTCTTACACCAGCGCAGATCTGGACAATAATACCTACCTGATGTCGGAGATAAAAGGAGAGCCGGAGGAACTTGGGAATTACAGTCGAACTCAAAAGATGTTTTTTCCTTCTCCTGAAATTGTGAAAAGTGAGCAAGTTCAGCCAGAGATCCCAGTTTCATATGAACTGCAGCCACTTTCTTCAGACTGCTCTGCAGCTCAGAGTGAGAACAATGACAGCGATGAGGAGTTGATGAAGAGCAAAAGAGAACAAACCAAAACAGTGAAAAGGAAAGGAAGGATATTGCATGGACGGGGTGTCAGCGTTAACAAGACAGACCCAGCGTCACTGCCCCGTGACAAAAGCTCTGCCAAAAGTGAAAAGCAACGCAGTTATTGCCATATTTGTGGCAAGGGATTCCAGTACATCGGCTCTTTGATGAAGCACATGAACACACATGAGAGGAAAATCAATTGCACCGTCTGTGGGAAAACATACCACTCAACAAAGCAGCTGATAGCTCACGTGAAAAGTCATCACAGCAAAACAAGTTTTTGTGACATTTGCGGCAAGACTTTTGCCAATGTCCACTGTCTCAGGGTGCACGACAAAATGCACAAAGGCATAAAAGAGTTTGCATGTGAAGAATGTGGCAAGACATTTTCCCAAAAAGGGCACCTGATTGTGCACGTGAGGACTCACTCTGGGGAGAAACCATATAAATGTGATACATGTGGGAAAGCGTTTAGTCAGAGCCAGAGCCTAACAATTCATAAAAGAATTCATTCAGGGGAGAAACCGTATGGTTGTGACCTTTGTGGCAAACAATTTATTACTCGCAGTCACCTCAAGGTACACATGAGATTCCACACAGGAGAAAAACCATATCCATGTGATGTTTGCGATAAACAGTTTAGCCATAGGGCAGTGATGTCTATACATAGGACCACACATACAAAAGGGAAGCCATATGGCTGGTCTGGAGGTCCACCTGAAAACTAATGAAAAGGCAGCTGCTAAGTGAAAACTGTTTTCAAATTATTGTGCTTTTTGTTTCGGTTAATGACTGAAACAAATATGTAAGTATTAATTGTTAACTGTTTAGTTTCATATGTAGTTAAGTTTTTAGTGGTTGTCTTTGCTACCTGTCTTCAGTTTGTAGGTCAGGTTTTGTCTTTGTTAAGTCTGTTTATGTTACTGTCTCACTTCCTGAGTTAAGTTTTGTTCACATGAACTTATTCATGGACCCAGAACTGTGTTAACTGGGTTTAATTCTGTGCCATTTTTGGTTAAATAAACCCCCATTTTTTTTAAAACCCACCTGTGTCTCCTCATGTTTTCTAGCTTGGTCCCTCACATGGAGCTTTAACTGTTTGAAATTAACAGTGTTAAGTCTTTAAAATTGCTTTTTAGAACTGTACATGAGTTATATACTATTACAGTGGTTTCAGAAACTATTCAGAACCGCTTTGAGATGATTTGAGCTTTGTGACATGGTGCATTATCCTGCTGGAAGTAGCCATCAGAAGGTGGGTACACTGTGGTCATAAAGGGATGGACACGGTCAGCAACAATACTCAGGTAGGCTGTGGTGTTTAAACCATGCTCAGTTGGTACTAAGGGGCCCAAAGTGTGCCAAGAAAATATCCCCCACACCATTACACCACCACCACCAGCCTGAACTGTTGATACAAGGCAGGATGGATCCATGCTTTCATGTTGTTCACACCTAATCCTGACCCTACCATCTGAATGTGGCAGCAGAATTCCAGACTCATCAGACCAGGCAATGTTTTTCAATCTTCTATTGTCCAGTTTTGGTGAGCCTGTGTGAACTGTAGCCTCAGTTTCCTGTTGTTAGCTGACAGGAGTGGCACCTGGTGTGGTCTTCTGCTGCTGTAGCCCATCTGCTTCAAGGTTGGATGTGTTGTTGGTTCAGAGATGGTCTTCTGCAGACCTTGGTTGCAACAAGTGGTGATTTGAGTTACTGTTGCCTTTCTATCATCTTGAACCATCTTGAACCTGGCACCAACAAGGCATTTTTGCCCAGAGAACTGCCGTTCACTTTTCAGATCATCCTCTGTAAACCCTAGAGATGGTTGTGTGTGAAAATCCCAGTAGATCAGCAGTTTCTGAAACACTCAGACCAGCAACTCTGGCACCAACAACCATGCCACGTTCAAAGTCACTTAAATCACCTTTCTTCCCCATCCTGATGCTCAGTTTGAACTTCAGCAGGTGTACCTAATAAAGTGGCTGGTGAGTTTATACAGTGTGTAGTAGGGATAGACCGATATGGATTTTTTAGGGCCGATGCCGATACCGATTTTTTTCCATCACCCTTAGCCAATGACCGATTATGGACTGCCGATTTTCTTGAGCCGATATTTGGGGCTGATACTGCTTTTGCTCCCTCAATTTACATAAAAAAAATGACACAATGATGACAAATATTACAGGTCTCAAGTTTAAAATAAGAAACATTTATTGAACAGTAAAAAATACTAAAACAAGATAGAAAGTTGAGGTAGAACAGGTAGAATATTATTATTATTATACATTCAAATAAAAAAAGAGTTCAATGCTCTTAAATCTTCCAGTAATGTCTTTATAAAATAAACAAATATTTAAGCTGAAGCATAAATAGAACAACAACTACTGTACACAGTAGGATTCGCTGCATGTGCGCTGCAGGGTCTTCTGGCAACACAGAGCTGCCCGCGGATGCCTGTCTGTAAATCATGCCAGGGAAAAATAAATCCGCGAACCCACGCGCGTATCGGCCGATCCCGATACAAGTAAAAAACTCAAATATCGGCCCGATATATCAGCCGGCCAATGTATCGGTCTATCCTTAGTGTGTAGAATTAGACATGTTCTAGTTTTTAGTTTCGTTTATGTTTTTTCTATTTTGCTTGTCATATACACCCTCCAGTGACCTGCTGCTATCCATAACGTATTTTTTTTAAATCTCTATTTGGAATTTAAGCTTTTATTTTGAACGAAGTCAAACCGGAAGTTGTATTCTGGCTGCTAGCTAGCGCATCACAAGCTGTAGGTCCAAGCTACGCTAGCTGAGTTTATCTTCCAGCTGTCCAGTTATTATCGTCGATGTCTTTGTTCCGTACCCCTCACCGGAGACATGGACACCAAAATGTTTCAGCTGAGGTCGTTTGTTCACCAACGGCTGTACACAGCGGCAGAGGAGATCCTCGGAGAGGTGGAGAAAACTATAACGTTAGCTTTGTACGAAGCCGAAGTTAGTCGACCTAAAGAGGAGGCTGGACGTCTGCGACGCCTGCTAGACCTCCAGCGAAAGAAAGCAGGTTTGTACTCCGGTTTAATGTGATGTTTGGTAGCGTTTTAGTCCCGCATTACCAGACTTATTCCTGTATTTAGCTAGTAGTGTAGTGGTAGAAAAAGTAGCTATATAGCAAAGGATGTTGCTGACTGCTTTTCCGCGCATGCGCACAATCGCTCGTACATCTTCAAAGTAGAAGGAGGATATTGTAGTTTTTCACATTGAGTGTATGGTTAGAAAATGACTCTAGAAATGGAAACATTGCAGGCTGGTGGGTAACTTTTGCTCCTGTCTCTCTTTTGCAGCTGCAGAGCCTTCACTGACCAGCAGCACAGTGGACCATGGAGATGAGTGTGAGAACCCAGGACCCTCAACCCCAGAAGAGTCTAACTTAAGGCTGAGCCCTGAATCCCCGGGACCCTCTCAAACCAGCACAGATCTGGACAATAATAACTGGAACTACTGCTTGGTTCAGACAGACTTTAAGATGTCGGAGATTAAAGAAGAGCAGGAGGAACTTGGGGATGACAGTCAAACACAGGATATGGTTTTTGTGAAAAGCGAGCAAGATGAGCCGGAGACACAAGTATCATATGAAATGCTGCCCCTTTCTTCAGACTGCTCTGCAGTACAAAGTGGGAACAATGACAGTGATGAGGAGGTGGCGAAGAGCACAGGAGAACAGACCAAAATAATGAAAAGGAAAGGAAGGATATTGCAAGGACAAAGTGTCAGTGTTAATGAGAAGGACCCAGCAGCGTTGCCTCATGACAAAAGTTCTGCTAAAGGCGAAAAGGAACGCAGTTTTTGCCATTTTTGTGGCAAGGGATTCCAGTATATTGGCTCTTTGATGAAGCATATTAAATCACATGAGAACAATTTTGATTGCACTGTTTGTGGGAAAACATGCCAGTCGACACAGGAGCTGATAACTCATGTGAAAGGCTGTCACAACAAAACATATTTTTGTGACGCTTGTGGGAAGACTTTTGCCAATGTCCGTTGTCTCCGGCTGCATGAAAGAATACACACAGGAATAAAAGAGTTTGTGTGCCAAGAATGTGGCAAGACATTTTACCGAAGAGAGCACCTGATTGTGCACGTGAGGACTCACTCTGGGGAAAAACCGTATCACTGTGATATTTGTGGGAAAGCATTCAGTCAGAGCCAGAACCTTACCATTCACAAAAGAAGTCATTCAGGGGAGAAACCATATCAATGTGGCCTGTGTGGCAAACTTTTTAACACTAGCAGTCATCTCAAAACGCACATGAGATACCACTCAGGAGAAAAACCGTACCCGTGTGATATTTGCGGTAAATGTTTTCGCCAAAGTGGACAGATGACCAGACACAGGACCACGCATACAGGAGAGAGGCCATATGGCTGCCATGTTTGTGGTATGAGATACAGGTTTGCACCAAATCTTAAGGTGCACCTGCAAACTCATGAAAAAGAAGCTGCTGAGTGACAGTCACATTAACTAGGCAGACCAACTCAGAGCTCAGATCATATTTACTGGTAAGTTAGATTTATCTAAAAAAATAATTGGAAGAAGTCCTATACTTGTTAACAGAAAATATGCTCGTAAATCCCTTTAGGTTTCTGTTGATATGATTTAGACTGCTAAAATATGTTTGCACTTATCAAGATGGTTAACTGATCCCATCAGGTAAAACCAGTTTCACCTTGACCATCATTTTTTATGTTGTTCTGTGTAATGTCTTCTTATGGTGAAACCAAATTTCCACATGGAGGACAATAAAGTTTAATATCCTGAAGAACCTATTTTTGTTGTTGTTTTTTTACACCAAATGCTAATTTTTAGATTTTTAAAATCTAAACTTGACAGAAATACAATATGAAATTCATAATTATCTTTCTTTGTGTATAATAGGGGTGAAGTGATACATCAATCTGTATCAATATATCAGTCGAGATTGATGTGTCTGTATCTGGTGTTAGTTGAGAGCAAGTTGGAGTCACAAAACTACCACTAAGTTTCAATGTCCTTGTCTGAGAATAACCAAAATTAATAAATGCTGATGCATAACTAATAATGTTGGATAACTTATATCCTAATAAATGAGCCCTACACAGATCACATCCACTAAAACATGGTTCCCACAGTCATGGAAAACCTGTAAAGGCCATGGAATTTCACAACCATATTCTTCAGGCCTGGAAAAGTCTTGGAATTAGTATAAGTCATTTAAAGTTTTGGAGAAGTCATGGTATTTTGTTGTGTGTAATGAAATTGTTCGGATAATCTTGCATGGAAAACCTTCCACAACGTAACATAACACATTTATTTTCTGTAAGGAAAAAAAACACCAAATATAATACTGCACACACCTCTCTGCCCTTCCACGTGCCCTGCATTAGGGTTTCTGCATAGGCCTAGGAAAAGCAGAGGGGCCCCAGAACAGAGCCATACTGCCAAATATAATACTGCACATACCTCTCTGCCCATCCACGCGCCCTGCATTAGGGTTTCTGCATAGGCCTAGGAAAAGCAGAGAGGCCCCAGAACAGAGCCATACTGCCAAATATAATACTGCACACACCTCTCTGCCCTTCCACGCGCCCTGCATTAGGGTTTCTGCATAGGCCTATGAAAAGCAGAGAGGCCCCAGAACAGAGCCATACCGCCAAACATAATACTGCAAATGGAAATAAAGTTTTCTTTGACTAAAGTGTTCCTGACTGAAATACTGACTGAGAGGAATTAATTGCAATTGCTAAAGTCATCGTTTGTGTGTAGCATGATACAACCAGTTTGCTTTCCATAAATGTTGTTAATGTCTGAGATATGATAAATATTTACAACATTTTCATCCTATTTGCCAAGATTAACATAATGATTAGTTTAGCTTCTAGATGCAGAATTTTATGATTCACAGAGACAGCCAGTCATTAGGAGTTATTTCATCTATTATATATTTTATCATCAAGCACTTTGTGTCCTAATAATGGGACAGTCAAAAGTCTTTTTGCAGTCTCCTCCAGATGAAGGGCAGATGACTGCATCACCCTGCTGCTCTTTGACATCGCCTTCTGCAGTTTGACCAGCAGATGGCAGCAGACACATCGCTTTCTTTTTCATGAGAAAGTATTTTGGGTTATTGTAACACGACATTTTGTATCATTTACTCCAAAGATCCCTTTGCAGCTGTCACCCAGCAGCATCAGTGTCTGTCTCTCAGCATGAACTCTTAAAGTACTGCTGCAAAAATTTTATTGTGCTACTGGGGAGTCCAAGTGTATAAACATGTCTATAAAATGTTGTGCAGGCAGCAGTTAAATGTCAGGTCATACAAGGTCGGGTTATTTCCTCCCTTAGTGTGTCACGACTGCTTCCCTGCAGCTCTGCTGGTCCTGATTGGGATGAGCAGGGGGCAACAATGATCCATACACATCCTAAAAAGCAAAGCCAGCTGTTTCCCCTCTTTCCTCTCCTGCTCTGCATGTATTCCTCTCAGTGTTTTACAAATTAAACATACATATCTCTCCATATCTTGTAACCAATGACCAAAAGAAGGCTTCTCTCTTTTGAATAAGAGGCTTCTGAGCAGTTACTTTGCATTTTTCCAGGTCGTGCAATTACATAAGTCTGCGTACAGGACTGCGGTGTCAGAGGGGGGAGAGTTGAGCTCAGTCTGTGTTTTGACGCTGAGCGCAGCAGCAGAGAGGAGGAGTCGCTCCGTCAACTGTTGGCCTCTCGAGTCTAATCTGGATTAGAGTTTCGTCCGGTCTGCAGCCAGGACTCCCAATAATCACATTATTCTGCATTGGGCTGACGCCTCCTGAAGCGGTGAGGAAGAAGCGCTGTCAAACGGTGGCGACGACGCGGACGCGTTTATCTCAAAGCCGAGCTGTTTTGTTTTTGATGAGATCTTTTTTTGTTAAGGAGTTTGGAGGATTTTGCAGCGAACATCTGAGGAAAGTTGAGTGAATATTGGTCGCCTGCGGACGGTGCACGGTGCGCAACCTCGTGTGCAGCGCAGCGCTCTGCAGCATCCACACTGATCACTGCAGCCTGCACATTTCTGCTCAAACCCCTGCCACTGATAACACCGGAGCGGCTGGTCAAACATGCCACATTCAGGTAAGTGCTCTGGTTTATTCACAGCAAACACGCGACTGTGTAGCTGTAATCAGTGCAGCACAATAGCTGCCTTTATTCTGAAATATGAGACTTGTGAAATATGCTACAGGTAAGGACAGAAAAAGCAGACTGGTGTGTGGATGGATTTGGCATCTCTTGAATTTTGAAAGTTTAAAGGGGCAGTTCACCCCAAAATCAAAACCTCATATTTGTCCTCTTAGCCATAGTGTTATTTATCAGGCTACATTGTTTTGGTGTGAGTTGCATAGTATTGGAGATATCAGCTGTAGAGACATCTACCTTCTCTCAAATATAGCTGAACTAAATGGCACTCAGCTTGTGGTGCTCAAAGCGCCAAAAACATACATTTAAAAAAACTCAACAGAAATGTCTCTTTCCAGAAATCATGACCTGGTTGCTCAAGATAATCCACAGATGCTGTTGTGAGCCGTTTCATGTAAGAACTATCTAGCGGGTTAGCCTGAACTTAAAGGCGCTGAGGGGCTGCATAGACAGGCTACTTACTAAATGATGCGCTCGCCTGACCAAACTGACCACTACTCATCAGGTGAAAACGAAAAGTCCACTTCTTCTTCTTCTTTGATGCACAATACATTCATGAATCTGTCTCCATAAACAGTTCAAAGGTACAAATCTTCACGATTACATTGAGTAGTGTACACCTGACTTGATGTGACCCGGTGTTGCAGTCAAAGAACTATGTGTACTTCCACATCTAGCAACACCTGTCCCTCAAAGAATGGTTCCTACCTGTATTGACAGACAGCCATAACAATACAGTGGCCGTTACAGGACAAATTAGCAACCTACACACATTTTACACCATGGATGGCTCCTATAAACTATATTCTTTGTACCAAACTACACCCATCAACTGTACCACCGCAAGATGTAAACACTAATGGGGTCAGGCATGGTATGGCCATTGGGAATTTGGTGATTTTCTTATTCGGCGGGTCTTGTGAGGCCCAGTCGTTTTTTTCCCCAACCCAGGCATTATATTCCCTCTATTAACACCTTATTTTAAAAAATGGATGTAGTCACACATGGATCCTTCCACTAACTTCGCCAAGTCAAATAAGGTGATCACTACATTAATTCAACCTTGAATTTTTGCTTTCTGTACACGCAAACATGGAGAGGAAAACCTCGTCATTTTACATATTAGCCTGCCACAAACAATACAAATGAACAGACTGTATGTTGGGTTTTTTTTTTTTTTGTAAATAAATTAATGATTCATTGATCGACAAATAAGTTGTGTCAGTTCACATTTAGTGTATTAAATTGGGGCTGCTTGACAGCAAATTCCCAGGCTCCTTTTTCAGGGTTCCCACACTTTGTCTTGGAGACAATTTCAAAACTTCTTCATGACTTTTCAAGGACCAAAAGTAAAATTTCCAGGACCATTCACAATGTATGACCTGGTTCTTTAAGAAAATCCACAGACGTTGTTGTGAGCAGTTTCATGTTTGAACTATTTTCTTTCTACCAAACTACACAGGAAAAGTGCATATTGCTAGCTCAGAGTTTAAATCTGATATGTTGGAACAGGAGAAAAATAATTTTGTGATAGTGTCATTAAATGTGTAGGTTCATGAATTCCAAAGTTTCCATACCTATGCTAAGTCCCACGACTACTTTTAAATTGTATTGCATTTTGAGAGAGAGCAATGTTGGTGTCAAACATTGTGAATAGTTCTGAAAATTTTATTTTTGGTCTTTAAATAGTCATGAAAATGTTTCGAAATTGTGTCCAAGAAAATGTGTGGGAACCCTAAAAAATGAGCCTCAGAGTTTGCTGTCAAGCAGCCCCAATCTGATACACTTAATTTGAACTGACACAACATCATTAATTTATTTACCAAAAAAGCATACAATCTGTTAATTTGTGTTGTTTTGTTAGGCTAATATGTAAAATGATTTAACTAATTTTTCAATTTTTCTTCTCCATCTTTGTGTGTACAGAAAGCAAAAATTCAAAGTTGAATGAATGTAGAGATCACCTGACACCTAATTTGGCTTGGCAAAGTTAGCTGAAGGATATGTATGTGACTATACCCCTTTTTTAAAGAATAGGGTGTCAACAAAGGGAATATATTGCCTGAGTTGGGAAATGAGGATCAGCTCTCACTAGACCAGCCCACAAGGAAAATTACCAAACTTCCCGATGGCCTGATTGTGCCTGACACCGTTAATGTTTACATCTTGTGATGATACAGTTGGTGGGTGTACTTCAGTAGAAAGAAAACAGTTCCTGCATGAAACAGTTCACAACAGCATCTGTGGATTAACTTGGTCATGATTCAGGCCCACTGGGAATTATTGAACTACCTGATGGCCAGTCTGTGCCTGACAACATTCTTGTGCTGCCACAAGTCTCTTGTCCTCTTGTAGTTGCATGCTTCTTTCTGTGGGGTGATACGGTTGGCGGAAGCAGTTGGTTGAAAGGTCTGTAGATTATCTTGAGTAACTGGGTCATGATATCCGTAAGGAGACATCTCTGTTGAGTTTTTCAAATGTATTTTTTTGGCACTTTGAGCCAAGAGTGCCATCTAGTTCTTATTATATTTAAGAGAAGGTAGACATTTCTACGGCCGATATCTCCAACTCTCTGCAACTCACAACAAAACAATCTAGACCGATAAATAGCACTACAGGTAAGAGGAACCATTTGCATTTTTTATTTTGGTATGAACTGTCCCTTTAAAGGGACAAACAGGGCTCATTTGCCTGAGTGATGCTTTGGCTCACATTGTCCATTAACGGTCATCCTCTTTTAGCCCAGGAGATATTGTCTTAATGATTTGCTTAATGAGATGAAGTACAGCTTTACTAACACTGACCATGTGATACTCAGACAAACACAGAGTCCTGCGCCAAATATGTCAGTCCTCAGGGTCAAATGGTAGTTTGAGGACAGGATTAAGCCTTTGAAACAAATTTCCTGCCCCGCTGTGTTGTGTCGGACAGCACAGACAGTCACATTTCCTCATACAGCACCCACATGAATTCTCACTCAGACAGAAAACAGAAATACTGTCTCCTTTATTTTATCCAATTGTCCTAGTTTAAGTGGGATAGAAAGGCCAAGCGGAGGACAGGGTGACAAAGACGTGATTTTATTGCCAGGATTCAATCCAATGCAGACGTCAGGGATAGAAGTGGGACTGTGTGCCAAACACGTAATTTCTTCCTCTCCCTTTTAATCCATTTAAAGTGATTCACTACTGCCTACCAATTGATAGACTCTTGAATATACCTGTCCCATCATTATCAGCAAATACACAGCGTTTGATTAATGACCACCGAAGAGAAAGCAGTTTGCATGTTACAGAAGAGACGGACAGTGGCTTTGTCATACTAGCTTTTGCTTTAATTAGTCCTCTGATACCTCCAGTTATTAAAAGCACCTGGAGACAGCAATACCTTGTCCACCTTTTGTTTTCGGAAATGTCAGACTCCAGTGAACTTCATTAACGTTTTCCTCCACGCTGCATGGTCTGGAGTCACTTGGGGCTTCACTGTTAAAGTGTTGAGTCATTTAATTGGTTCAGTGATTCACTAAAAATGATTCGACAACTACTTTGATAAGCCATTAATTGTGTCAGGCAGTTTTTAGACAAAACATGCCAAATATGCTTTTATTGCTGCTTTTTAAATGTAAGAATGCGCTGATTTTCTTTGTTTTGTTATTGGGGAGTGAATATTTTGGGGTTTTATCCCTGAATTGAACAAAAGACATTGAAAGATGTCACCTTTGGCTTTTGACATTTACGTTTTATAGAGAAAATCAGTAGCAAATAGCAAATAAGTAAGGAAAATTATCATCTGTTGCAGCTCTAATGTGAAAGGTTGATAATGTCCTTATTAATGGTAACCATAGTATTTTTCAACTTGAACCATATTTTCCCATGTATTTGTGTTTGAGTGACTAAAGGGAACAACGACTTTGAGTATTGAGTATTGTCTGCTGCAGCCAGCAGCGGAAAAACAGGCTGCAATGTTATCCCTAATTGTGCAGGGTTAAAGTTTCTCGACTTAACGTGTGTGTCTTTGTCACTGACAGGTTCTGATTGTTGTTAGAGACATTTTTGTTAAAGAGTCAGATCCTTTTTGTTTAACCAGAAATAGCACCAAAATTGCTATCATCAAATCCACCGGACTCCATTTAAATAAACGGTAATTTTATTCTTATAAAACACACTTTATTCAAAGTAAACAAAAGCAAAGTGAAGTTTACAAAAGCCATCTTGGTGTGTCTTTTCATTGCTCCAACAGTCACCAACTCTGGTTTGGTTGAAATAAACCCTCCATTCACCCAGTTAGATGTAAAAATATGCTGGCTCTATACACACTAAAATTACTGTTTATTTAAATGGAGTCTGGTGTGTTTAGCAAAAGCAGTTCTGGGACTGTTTCTGGCATAACAGAAAGGATCTTACTTTTTAACGAAAGGTCTTTCTCTCCAGGGGTCCTCTCCATAAGTTGTCAGATATTTATAATAACAATTGGAGCCTGTCAGCAGCAGTTTTAGTGGATGTAAATTGACGGTGCACAATTGCCCTCGGGGATTACGTTGCGGCTTGTTTAGCAGCTGCCGACAGCAGCCCTCTTGCTTAATGCTAGACATATTTAAAAAATCGCTGTTGCCATTAGTCACAAAGACACATGGGAAAATAGGGCCCAGGTTGAAAATACTGAAGTTGTCCTTTAAGTATAATGCAATTCACTTCAATTAGGAGCATCAAAGAGTTTTTACATGCCTTTCGGTCTTTGACATTTTACTACTTTTAAGGAAATCTTCCTTTACTAATTATAAAATAGCTAAAACTGCTCCACTTTCCACCCTCAAGGGACAAACCAAAAACTGGGGTTCCAGGCTCCAGTCCTCCGATGTTTTTCCTTCCTTCCTGCAGGAGTCCATCCACACTCCTGTCTGGAAAGCTGCCAAATCCCTGCTGACTTCATATTCCACAGAGCAGCAAAGGTTTTCCTCTCCCTGTCAGCACGAACTGATCCAAATTGACTCAGAAGCAGAAATTGATTAGGGTAATGCAGGGCTGTCTGGAGCAACTTAAGCACTGGCGGAGCAGCACTTTTGGTTAATTAGATTTGACAAACAGCGCAGCAGGTTGGTGCTAAAAATTAACATCTCTCATTATGAGCAGTGTGCAGAGAAGGGAAGAGATAAGGGGGGAAGGCAATGAGAAAGTTAAATTACGCGAGCAACATGGTAACAAATGACTCTCTGTAGCCTTGGAAATTGGTTTAATCAAGGTCAGAAATGTTAAATTTCTCTCTGGTCTAAAAGGCAGGAATATTAGTTCGTGACAACACTATCACATCCTGTTGTGTGAGAAATCGGGCTCACCAAAAGCTGTTACTGAATAAAAGGAATTTGCTTATGCTGTTGTAGTATAGATAGGTTGAAACTAAGTCAGAATGAGAGTTAAGGAATCGCATATCATACTGATATACTCTGGTTTCTTATTTCACTGTTAATGTTATTCGTTATCTGATGTGCAAAGACTAACACAGATACAGTTAATATTTTTAGTTCCACAACATTCCTGTTTTAATGTGTTTGATATCTGTATATACATGTGTTGTTAGGCTCTGATCAGACAGAGCAGGTTATGCAGGTTGCAGAACAAATGGTGCACCGCACTGCCTTTTTTATTGAAGCTGGCCCAATCAGACAGAGTGTTTGTTACAGCTTCTGCGTCATTTTTAATTGTTGCTAGACAACCATCTGTCCTTAGCTTAGCTGTCATTTTGCTGTGAAGTAAATTCACAGATCTGTACCTTAAAATCTCCAAATACAATGGGCAGACGGAGGGCACTTGGGCCCCACAAGCTGGTCCAGGAGCTTCACCTGGATGATGGCTGATTCGAGGGCTTATATTCGGATGAGTCTGGGACAGTTTGGCAATCTGTTGTCAATCAGTGGGCCTAATTACAGTTGGTAAAACATTACAAAATAGATGAGGCTGCAGTATGTTCAGATATGTGTTGCAGCTTGCCTTGTGGGGCGATGATGATGTGACCTAATGTTAGCATAACACTCTACGCAAGTTACCATTTGGTGTCATAGTCATCACCACAATTCATCTGACTGGACAATGGGAAAAAACACTATAACATTGAGCGCTTTTCTGCTTCTGTTGAAGTGTTTGTGAACTTGAGGCGTTTAGGGCGCTTCAGGGAAAAATAACGTGCTCAGCATGGCAAAAGCAGTGAATAAAATGGTTAAAATCAATTACAAAAAGTCGCCCCAGGCTGCTTAAACTTGCTCTGTCTAATCAGGGTCATAAGGCCCAGACAAACCAAACTGACTTCAGAGAACTAATGGTGACGATTGCCCCCTGTTTTGTTGCCTGACGTTGTTGTGTCTTGGCCAAAAAGTTGCACAAGAACACACTGTAAAGACTACAGCTAATGGCCAACAAGCATGTGTGTTCTGCGACTGTGTGAGAGGAAATAACTCTCCACACTAGCAGACGGTGGTTGTCTGTAATGGTCATTTAAAAGAGAAACCGGAAGATTGTCTTGACGCTAGTTAGCCAGTTAGCCAGTTAGCATATTAACAACACAATCCATTGTTGAAAGAGCAAAGCATGTTTACAGTGCGCCAGTGAACAATAACACAAACCATCAGGAAATGTTTTGGCTAAAAAGCTCACTGGATAAAGAAAAATAATCTTATCTTATGTAACAAGTTTGTGTCAGTCTCACTCCCTCTTAACTTTAGCTGTTTGTTTACTTTCCTCACTTCTGTTTCTCTTCCCGTGTGCTGAGCTGAACTGCCAATCAGAGTGATTTCATTCACTGCTGGGCTCCGCCATTGATTCAACATGCTATACTGGTAAAATAAAAGCTGATGGGGATCAATGGGGGGCAACAGTGCAGGACACACTGCACCGATGATTGTGACAGACGCGCACCAATGGCCTGACATTGACCTTCAGCTGATTGTTGACTTGGTGTGTCAGGGCTTTTAAACCAAATAGGCAAGCTGTCCTCTTCCATTAAAACACAAAGATACGGCTTTAATTGTAATGTTTTTATTGTAAGGAACAAAACCTCTATTGGGAATGAGGCCACTCAAGTTTAAAAACCATAGAGAGGCCTCCAGTTATTTTTGTTGGGGGGGCTGGTGGGGGTGGCAGCAACAGTTTCAGGGTAAACATGGCCCCCCCAGCTCCTCCTGGCCACCCCTTGGCGCCACCACTGCTCATAAAGCCATCTTGTGATTACATGTGATACCGCATTATGTGTGTGTGTGTGTGTGTGTGTGTGTGTGTGTGTGTGGCTGACAGCTTGCGCAAGTGAATGACAATGTATCTGCAGATGTATCTGAAATTGAAAGCCACAGTGATTGCTCATTCATCAGATTGAATTCATGTCCCAAGTGTCTTAATTTCCTGTCATAAAAGCCTCTTTAATATGGAGGATTACAGTTAATCCACTCTCCGTCTGGATTGGAGCGAAGCTGTTGGCGCTCTGATATTTGGGGCTGTGCAGCCTGCCTGCTGTGATACATGTCAGTGATTGCCACATGGAAACAAGCTGTGAAGGACTTGTTATAGATCCGCGCGCCCCTATTTCCAGAGGGAGCGTCTAATTGTTGTGCTTTCAAAGGCATAACGACCAGCGGTTAGGGTGTGGTTGAATAAAAAAGAAGCTTGTTTTCCCGGTTACATTCATGACATGCAGAAGCTTACGTCTTACTTATTGTAACTCGGCTCTTATTTTGAGTCATTACAGATTATTTATGACCTGAATGAAGACAACTAGACTGTGTGAGAGCATGTGTATGCATATTGTGCATCATTTGTTGTCTCAGCATCAGATGTGCTCACTTTTATCATCCACACAAACAGATGCTGGCACAGATGAAGTTGTCTTCCCGTGTGTTTCACTTAAATCAAACCTGAGGCAGCCGTGAGATCAGAGACGTGAGCTTGTGATTGAAGAGTTGCTGTTTTGAATCCCTGAACCATCTGGAACAATCTTGTCTGAGGATGTAAGTGAGTGACAGGCAGTGTAACACATGAGAAGAAAACTTGTGCACATATTTCACATGACATGAGAAGGAGAAGATGAAGTCCAGTATTGTGCCCAGCATCCTTAATGCCCCCTGGAAAAGACAAATGTGTCAATTAGGCACAATCAAGGATAATGGATTGGATCACTGCATCTTATTTGGGATTAACCCTGACTGTGGGATTAAAGTCTCTGTGCTTAATAACTCCTTATTATGATTCCAGAAACAAAGCACTCATCCACTTCTTCCTTATCTCAGACTTTATGTGAATTAACAGCACACACAGGGTGAAACACAAAGTTCCCTGCATCCCTACAGAGGAGCAGCAAAAAAGGACAGAGGAGAAAGTACAGAGGAGATTTGAGAGAAAGGTTGGGAGGTGAAAGAGGAGAGAAAATTTGAAAACAAACGGAAAGGACGGAAACAGGAAGGTCAGAGCAGCAGCTGAATAAGTAGCAGAGAATGAATGTTAAAGGAATACTTCACCCCCTAAATGACCGTTTGTATATCAGTCACTCATCACATGTTACGTTGAACTGACCCTTCGCTAAGTCCCATCCCGAGACGCAGACAGGCCAATCATAATGTAACATCTGGTCGGCTCAGACCAGGGTCAGACAACAACACAACTGTGCTCCATTGACTCTAATTCGTAATTTTCAGGCTGGTTTTGTGGATTTGGAGCTAAATGTTGTGTCTGGGGCACGTCGTGTATTAATGATACTCGTTACCTGGAGAGGTTGGAAAAAGATATACGTTTCTTCCCTGTTCCAAAACCAAAATCAAACCCTGAAAAGTGTAGGGTTAGCTAGCTAGCTACTGAAGATAACACTGTTCATCTGCACACACTGTGATGCCACACAGCTGGTTCAATATCAGCAAAGTTTCCCTTTATATTCATTGTCTTGTGTGGCGATCAGCAGTGATGTGGTGGTTCACTTTTACACTGTGATCTGTAGCCTATAGTTCGGCTTTAGCCGCTAAAGCCGAACTATAGGCTACAGATCACAAGTTTAGCGTCTAACTATCTTTGTCTTTTTAGCCTGTTGTTGCTGCTGAGTCAGTTTGACATCCTGGATATATCCTTCAAACACAGACTGTAGACCCCTCTGCCTGCTTCTCTCTGGAATCACTCTTTCAATTTTTTGTGCCTTTAAAAATAATGATGTTGCTATCAGCTGTTCAAATAACCACATTTTAATACATTTCTTTTGTTTCTCACCACATTTCCAGCACCCATCATGATGGATTATAAGATACCCGAGGAGGATGTTACAAGTCTACATGCAAGTAGCACCATGCTTCATGTCCTCGGGGACTTAATTTGATCAACCACGTTCTCACAGTAGCTCCAGCATGGAAGAGAGCAAGCTCATCTTCAGCCTGGACGGCCACGATGAAGGTCCCACTGTGGTGTTTTCCAAAGACAAAACACAAGACAGGATGAGCCAGCCTGTTCTCAGCCTGGGGATGGATTTGGACCTGAGCCTAGGCCACGGCTCCCAGCCCTCCTTGCTGCCTCACTCCCCCTCATCCCCGGGCTCTTTAGCTGATCTATCAGCATCATCAGCAGATCTGCTCATCACCACCAACCTGGTCAAATCTTCCTCCACGGATCTGGAGCCGAGGGAGAGCAGCTCCCTGCGAGGCAAACCTCTCCTCAGCTTGGTCAAGTCTCTGAGCACCGAGATTTCCCGCCGGGTCGAGCCAGAGGTCAACCTCTCCAAGTCAGACTCCAAGCTGCATTTGCATCCTTGGAAGCAGCTTACCCATCCAAAAATCCCAGAGGCTAGGCCTGAAGCAGGAGGGCTGATTGAAGATGATGACTGGGAATCATCTCTTTCATGTGTGCCTGCCGCTGAGCCCCGGGGCAGCTCACTGATGGCTGAGCTGGAGGATACACGGAGGAAATTCTCCGAAGCCATGCAGGATCCTTTGAGCATGCTGAGTAAAATCATGGGGGACGAAAGCTCCGGCAGCCCAAAGCAGGGTAGGGCTTCTGGTGCCGGAGACTCACCGTCCTCTCAAGGCAGCTGTGGAAGAGATGGTGCTAGTGACGATGCGGACCTTAAGTGCCGGAGGAGAGCTGACGTTGAGCACAGAGGTGTTTGTGACACAACGCTGAGAAGACTCCAAAGAGGCTCCTTAACAAAACCCTCTGCCTCCCCAGAGCGCAGTGACAGTCATTTAGAAATCCGCACTTACGGAGATATGATCCAGGTGGTGGAGCTCCAGAATGGATCCAAAAGGACACATCACAGAACTTACACCCAGTCTCGAGTCACAGTGCCGGGCTCATCGCTGCCTCTTCACTGGCTCTTCCCTGTGGGTCTTCTAGCTTATGGTTTCTTTGTGTTGCCCCTGCCCTCCTATGTGACAGGTCTGTCCGTGGGGGTTGCATGTGGCTTTATTTTGGGCCTGGTGGTAGTGTTCATGTTTGCCCCACGACGCTCATCAGCCAGAGGCAACAAGGGATCTCGGAAATCCAGACCCCTGAGTATGGATCTACTGGATGGAGGGCTCGCAGATCAAGAAATCCTCGAGGTAATATATGAGTAAAATACTTTTACTTTTATCCAAGCTTCTGTTTCCTTTTAATATATTACACATTTGAATGTAGCATAGAGGAACAACAGCAGCTGTTTTAGGTGTTAGATAACTAAAGACAGTGCTGTCAATGGTGCTTAATGAATTACTTCTGAGGTAATTACTGTATAGAAAACTGCCCTCGGGCACAGCAGGTTCAGCATCTTAAGAGCAGGTTATTTTGATAATAGCTTTCTCACAACACTTGACAGCTCTGCTGAGATTCGGGCCGTCTGCCTCAATAAACGTAGAGTCAGCAGGTTCATATAAGGTGAATTCTACGAGGATAGAGGAGCTTCTAACAGCAGGCTGTGGGCTATTTCAAAGACTCATCGACAGTGTTGAATGAGACGGATGTTTTCTGGAGTGTCTCGTGTTTCCCCTCCTGCTGAGCTGTATTGTTGCAGTTTGCACCACATACTGGGAATTTAATTGGCCCGAGTAGAGTTTTTGCTAGGTTTACATATTCCCTGATGTATCAACACTTAAGTCAGTGAAGGACACCAACAGAGTCCGTCATGTTGCACCACGATGTTTCTACAGTAGCCCAGAATGGACAAACCAAACACAAACACTAACATTTTTGCACCATTGTAGTTAAAAGTGGGTGGTGCAGTGTTTAGCATTATTGTCTCACAGTTCGAACCCAGGCTCATCCGTGTGGAGCCTGCATGCTCTCCCAATGTCAGCGTGTTTTTTTGTCCGGGTACTCCGGCTTCCTTCCACAGTTCAAACACATGCTAGGTTAATTGGTGATTGTAAATTGTCTGTAGGTGTGAATGTGAGTGTGAATGGCTGTGCGAAAGTCTGGCGATCTGTCCAGGGTCTGTCTCACCCACCTTCAGCTGGGATAGGCTCCAGCCCCCCCACGACCCACAACAGGACAAGTGGTTACAGAAATGAATGAAGGAATGAATGTAGTTAAAAGCCCCTCCAGGATAAGGACGGAAAAACAGATTTGTAACGTTAAACTGTTTTATATATTGTTTAAATTACTGTTTGTTTTGGAGAGGAAGAGACCTCTGCCGGTAATTTGGCTCCTGGTAAGAACCTCCTGAACGTCTGGATCTTAAATTAGTGGAGGAAAAAGGTGAGCACACATTAGAAGGTGCTGGGCTAGCAGCCTGAGTGCAGTGAGCCAAATAGTGTCAGAGAAACACTGATTTGTAACGTGAAACTGCTTTATTCAGTGTTTTTACTGGTTTAAATCAGAGGGTTTGTTTTGGAGAGGAAGAGTCCTCTGTGGGTTATTTGGCTCCCAGTAAAATCCTTCTGAACAATGAACACTGAAGGACTCCTAGTCCAGGCACGTGGTCATAACAGATATTAGGCAGTCTGAATCTTATAAATCCTAATCTCTTTTTAATATCAATTCAGAAAGGAGAGTTTGAGGTGCTTTGCGGCTGATTACTAGGTTAAACACTCATTATTTTCTTCTAGGGCTGGATGAATGAGACACACAGCTACGACCCAGAGACTTTCCACCCCTCTGTCACACACTCTGTCTATGCCACCCTGGAGGGAAGCTGGCTGCGCCTGGCATACCCACGTGCCAACATCCCCCGATGGGCGGCATTCGATGAGGCGCGCCACGAGGCCGTGTTCTTGCGTTCACGCATGTACCAGCTGGCAAACTGTAAGGTCAGTGTGTTATATATAACATTCTTATTTCTGGGGCCCAGGGTAACAGACATGTCCCTCAGAGGGGCGTAGAAGAGAAGGTGACCTCTTGCCTGACCTCTCATCTCTCAGCACCCACATTGTCATTTAACACGGAAATGGAAGAACAGAAGGATTACAACTGAGGTGATGACGCTCTGAATAAACTTGACCCAGCTACTGTCCCAGGAGCATATTGAGGCAGGCTGCAGCAGCTTCCACTAGGCTGATAGAATAAAGCTAACACACTATCTAATCGATGTGGGGAGTGCTTTGGCAATGGCGGAACTGTCAACACGATTTCTGCCTGCCAGCATCTCCTGTAGAGAAGGAAATCATACTTTTCCTTTATCTTTCCTTTCTGTTACTTTAAATCCCAGGTGTCTCTGTTGCCGCCTGGTTTGGCTCGCAAGAGGATCTGGAACAAGAAGTACCCCATCTGCATCACTCTAGCTGAGGGGGAGGTAGGGGAGGAGAGTCTGGTTGAAGAGCAGGAGGAGGAAGAAAGGGCAGAGAGACACATTGTCACGAACCATCAGCTTCCTGTCACCCTGTACCTGTTTGGTCGCACAGGCAGAGAGAAGGAGGAGTGGTTCCAGCATTTCCTTTCTGTCTCCCGGGCTGCAGTCAAGAGCAGTGTGAGCGGGGAGGAGAATGCAGGTAAGAAGATGTTCCAAATTATGTTGGCTTGGGGCAATTTAGTGGCGTCATTTCCTTGTTAAAACATGCACACAGTTAAATCGAGTGCAGCACACACTGATGCTCATGCAGACTCTGAGATATATTTACCCGCTCCTTCAGCTCACTCGCTTTGTGTCTGCCTTTCCTCTGTCACTCAGAACCACCATGTGGTGCAGACGCTGCTAAAGAAAGCACAGAGGAGCTGCACGACTTGCCGGGAGCTACAAAAACAAGATCGCTGCTGGAGTACAGCACCTACATGACTCAACTGATCGGCTCGCAGAGCTGCAATCCCACTCCCAGCCCCTGCCACAGTGACAAGGGCAGCCCCACAACCCACAAGAAGGTCACTGAGCAACACTTTTATTTAGCTTGTAGGTGTAGTATCAGGTCTAGCATCACAGTGCTGGAGCTTGTACAGTTATAATTTACAGCGTGAGCAGATTTCAGACCTTTGCTCTACTTACCCTCTGCATGTCATGCTAATACTCTACATGACTCCCATTGATCGGAGCTGGTCAATATCAGCTACTGTTCCACTGTTCTGGTAAGTGCTCAGGCCAGCCTTGTGTAGGATGCTGGCTCAGCCAAACGCAACCCTGCTGACTTGACCAAATGTCAATGTGCAGAAATATCAAGTATCACCTGGGTGGAAAGATATTTATAGGAACTGACTGAGCTGCTTGACCTGGCACGGGTGATTTGGTATTGGCACCCCACGTAGAGACAGTCTGTCCTGATGTTTAGAGAATCAGCATAATTGGGGTGTGAGGATAGATAACCATATAAAAGGCAAAAATTTATAAGTACATCTTGGTCTTATCAGGTCATGTGACCTCTGCAAAATGCTTGTGCAAACATTAATGTCCTCCAGGGTCTTATCTCTCTGTTATTCCCTGTAGATTCACACTGAAGAGCACAGATCTGGAGGTCAAGCTGCAGCTGAGTCCAGTGCTGGTTCAGGGGCAGAGGGATGCTCTGCAGAGAGCCAGCCCACCTGGGTGAACTCCCTGGTGGGACGGATCTTCTGGGACTTTCTGCGGGAGAAGTACTGGACCGATCAGGTGGCGCACAAGATCCAGAAGAAACTAAGCAAGATCAAGGTGAGGGTGGATGAGGAGGGTGATTTATTTTTACAAGGTTAGTTCGAAGTCCTTGGATGACAGAATGATTGTGAACTGTTCGTGTTTATATTCACATTCATCTTCATATTCAGACCGTCATCAGTGTCACACTGACTAATGACACAGTGAGGCAACAGTGAGTGTACTGTAGATTGGAGCTCTGCAAACTGTGTCGCTTGATGATACGACCTGAATATCAGCTCTGGTTTGTGCACAAGGTCAAAAGATGTCATGATGGAAAATTCAGCGCAGCAGCTCTCTTTCCTGTGTGTGTGTGTGTGTGTGTGTGTGTGTGTGTGTGTGTGTATGTGCGTGCGAGAGAGAGTCAGTCTGCTGATAACGCACTTGCTCTGGTTCCAACGGCAGGAGGTGGGAGTGAGTAGCGGAGCACTGATGGCTGACTGCAGCATCTCATTACTCATTTCCTGCTCTCCTCTTTGACACACACCATCCTTTTTTTTTTTTACTATCTTGTTCCTCTGTCCTTCACACATACACTCACACACACACACACACACACACACACTGGTAAACACTGCAGGTTTCCTCTGCACGCTCATTTGTTTGAAGTAATTCTCTTTCCCCGTGGAGCCTCTCTATCTGTTTTGCATAGATTCAAGTTGGAATTTTATGTCTGACATAAACGCAGCATGTTAACTAATTAAAACTGCTGTTTGTCTCATTATAAGTTGCCGTACTTCATGAATGAGCTGACTCTGGCAGATCTCGACATGGGCACTTGTCTACCTCAAGTTCTCAGCACATCCAAACCTACGCTGGACCGCAGAGGTACAGTTGTGTGTATTTACACTCATATATGTTGAATTGAAAAAATACTCATCTATACAAGCTCTTGATCTGTGCCTGAGTAAAGTCCCACTGATCCACGAGTTTGGCTGTGAACTCTTAGTCTTGATTTATGCCTCTGTGCCGACGACAGCTATGGTCAGAGGCATTGTGTTTTCAGGTCACTCCGACCTCATTACATATTGCCGCTTAGTTGTGGACTTTCCATGTCTACATATGACGTCCAGGATATCCTGGGTGCATCTGTTGTTGATGTTCTGGTACACCATAGAACAGTTTGCATACAGTCTCTTTCAAAATAAATGTACTACATTGGTACAACACCACGAATTGATGTTTATTTCCTTCAAAAACAAACGCACATAGTTACGTTTATCCAATACATGCACATGGTTGGGTTTAGGCAACAAAAGTACGTGGCCAGGCTTAACAAAATAACAGGATTTGGCTTCATATTCATACAGGAAGTAAACACCGGCCTCCTAGGTGAAAGTTGGTAATTGTTGGACCCATCCACCCCTCCTACCCACCAAACACCATGTTTCCCCCTGATGCTGTCAGGCACCGTTACACACTGACGGTGCCCGGCCTTGTATAATGCCGATGTGAAAGGACAGCTTTTGTCATCAGTGTCTGACAGAGAAGTCACTGCCCTAGCGCCAACATTCGACAACTTTGGAATGAGGCTGCATTGAACGTACTGGTTTTTTCGACGTTTTGAGAGTGGAGTGTAGCGAAGTGAAAACAAACTACACGTCGGGCAGTATTCAAAACACATTGATGGCCGCATCTATCTTGTCTCCAGCACTCGCCATTGTTGTTAACACTCCTCATTGGTTCCGCCGCACCACTTGACAACAACTAGACAACGGTGTCATTCCTGCCCGTGACACCGATTGGCTTATCACGTCCACCCACGGCACACATTGGTTGGTTTTTATTTGAAATGAGAAACCGCTATTTCATGTAACAATACGAGACCAATCAGTCAACTTGAACTCGGTGTAGTGGGCAGACCCAGTGACCTCACAAAACACGTTTTTGGCCATAACTCAAGAATTCATACACTAATTATGACAGAATTTAACATAAATGTCTAACAGGATAAAATGATGGAAGGATGGCATTTTATATCCAAAAGGTCAAAGGTCAACTTCACTGTGACATCACAATATTATTCATAAAACTCTTTTCTGGCCATTGTTCAACACCATAACTCAGGAACAGAAGGGGAGACATCTGGTCTGACACTAAACTTTGGTGCCCATCTTGAAACTGTGCAGATCGGTAGATCGTCTCTGTGCTGCTGGGTCGACGATGTTTGTGAATAATCTGTGTTTTAGAATTTGTATCATCTTTGAAGCAAAATCCATATATGAAGGTGATGTGGAAAAACTTGTACCCTTGGTCAGTCTTCATTTTGATAAATTATAGTATGAACTCAATGAGCTGCAGTTGATCTTAATAAGTTTAATGCAGCAAGTAAGTCCGAACAGACATAGATGTAAACTGCACCTTACTGGAGGCAAACAACCCCGAGGCGGTGATTCTAGATTCTTTTCTATACCACTCTGTACCAAAGAGTCACCAAATAAGGTTTACCCAGCAGTCTCTACCCAGATTTCTCCTCTCAGACACAAACCTGCAGTCAGCTTAGGCAGTGATCTCATTTGTTTCATTACACAGTTTGTCGCACCCGCCCTGAAAGCTTTCTCCTGCCTAAGAGATTAGCAATCCTCTTGGCCTTGACTAAGCTTAACTGGCAATAGTATGCCCGAGCTATCCTCTGTTGGTCTAATGTTCCTTCTGCAACAACAGTGTCCCAGGCCAGATCAACAAGAGATGTTGGCTTGTTAAGAAATCTGATCTGATCTTACCTGCTACCTGCCTCCCTTTATCCCCAAGGCCTGTGGCTGGAGCTGGAGGTGGTGTACACAGGCTGTCTTCAGATGACCCTGGAGACGAAGATGAACCTGTGTAAACTAGGTAAAGAAGGAGAGGACGAGGCTCACAGCATACTAGAGACCCAGCAAGTAGGGTGAGGCACATCCTCATTTCATATTCCTCAGCAGATAACGAGAAAGTGTCGAGGTGGATGTGAGTGTGCTTGAAAAGGAATGAGTCTGCAAAGCTCAGTAGTGAGTTTGTGTTAAGCTGTGCCTCTTGTGTGTTTTTCAGCTCTAAGCCCAGGCTGTGCATACTGGCAGATAGTGACGAGGAGTCATCCAGCGCAGGCTCGTCTGATGAAGAGGAAGTCCCCATCTCTGAGCAGCAGGGGTCTCTGGGAGATAAGAGCACAGCTGTAGCAGCAGAAGGGTAAATTAACAACTTTAGAGCTCAAATATGACACTAAGTATACAGTAGGTCACACAACTGCACTGCACTGAAATTTCTGAAGCATGTTGCACTCGTGGTCGCAGCTTGTTTGGTGATGTAACAGCAGGTGTTTCAAGGGCAAAAAGCACCACTTTCTCATGGCAGATATCTTGACTGGTCAAACAGAGGTGTAAGTAATAATAATGTTGCTGATTGCAGACATTTTGACGCAGTAGGACAAGCACAGGTGGACTTAACGACCTTAACAATACTGCATCCCACTCATGGCAGTGCAGTGCAGCGCAGCATCGTTATGGACACTGACTCCACCTGTGCTTCTCCTGCTACGCTAAGTCAAAATGTGCACTGTGAAAAAGGGTACTGGATCTGACTGTACATAAAGATGGATAACTTGTCTCCACTTCTTCCCACTGTACAAACATGAAGCCAAAATATCCTGGATATGGCCGCTGTTATCTTGCGCCATCCTTAAATGGCTGAATTCCAAGGATGCTACATCATCCAACTCTGCCGAAGGACTGTTCCTATGTCAAGGATCCTTCAAATTCTACCAAAGACTGAGTCCTTCTTTCAGAAAATTTTATAGGATGCATGTGTGTATCCTCAGTGGGTATAAAGTACCCACAATTCTTCATGCACGATTTGCTGGATTTGATTTCTTCAATTAAATCTGTGCCAGTGGAGCTCAGCAGGATTTTGATAAATACATCATTTATTTGGGTTAATATCTCCAGGAGTTACAAGCATGGAAAAAATATTGACAGGAACCTCATAATTTACAATTTGTAATGTGTCCACTGCCAAATAATGAGCTTTTTAAAATAACATGATGTACAGTAAACAAACAAAGCTCTTAAATTAATCATTTACAGCAGTGATGGAGCACTATGTGTTGTTTTATCCAGAAATATATTCTCCCTAAAAGTCCCGTGACTTTAAAAATACTGCTGACACTTGTTCAAATTGTACAACATGAGTGCCAAAATTATCACAGTACCCTGAAACCCCCTCAGTTCCCAGAGGGTTAATGACGCACACCTGGGGACACTCGCTAGCCTGTTCCAATGTGTGTTCACCAAATGCTTGGAAGGAATTATCACACTGAACCAAAAGAGACTCAAATGCAGACTCAGGGACAGAATAAAGTTCAAAGCAAGGTCCTTTAATTTCAGGCTAGGTTCGGTACACAGATGTCAGTCACTCAAGCAAAGACAAAAATCAGAAATCCTAAAGGTGGGTGAATATCACAAGGCAAACAAAGTAACGAAGAAACGGCTGGAAGGCTGACTCAAAGTACAAGACAAACTGGCACAGACAAAGGGAAACACAGATACTAAATAGGGGAGACAACGAGACACAGGTGTGACACATTAGGACAGGTGCAGGTAATCAAACAGGCGGGAAACACAGGGGAGCAGGAAGTGAAGAGACCTCTGAAGTTTCTGAACATGGACATGTGAAGTATATAAACCAGTCAGCGTACTCCCAGTTTAGACAGTAATACTGTGTCCCAGTCGCAGTCATTTTTAGATTCACAGTCCTACACTGCGATTGTGCCCTCGTCCTAATCCCTCCTGCAGGCACACTGGTGGCAGCACAAGCAGGAAGATCTTGAGATTTGTGGACAAAATAGCAAAGTCCAAGTACTTCCAGAAAGCCACTGAGAACGAGTACATCAAGAAGAAGATAGCCGAGGTGTCCAACATGCCTCTGATGCTCAGCGTGGAGGTGCTGGAGCTCTCTGGCACTCTGGCCATCAACATCCCACCTCCCCCTACTGACAGAATATGGTACTGAGTTTACTGTGTTCTCATTTCATACCATACATTCAAAGGATTCTTTATTCCTCATGCAGTGTGTCTCTCCTCTCAGGTACAGTTTCCAGGTGCCTCCCAGGTTAGACCTTCATGTGCGACCCACGCTCGGGGAGAGGGAGGTCACCTTCACTCACGTCACTGAGTGGATTGAGAAAAAACTGCAGTGCGAGTTCCAGGTCAGTCGATATGATTTACAATTTTCTAGCCAATATACTCTGAATATTAAGCTTATTTTACTCATATCTGAGGCAGAAATCCATTTAAAACATGTTATATGTAACTGTTAACAAAATATATGTTAAGAAAATAATGATAAGTAATGTTAAATCTAAATGTAAAATTTAAATCTAAATGGGTAGAAAATATGCAAGGAGGCCATTCTTTATCTCCATCTCCAGAGTAAACATTTATAGTTAACATTCAACAATTAGAGTTAACATGTAACATTTAGATTTAACATTTACAGTCAACATTCAACGTTTAGATTAACATTTGACATTTACATTTAGATTTAATGTTTAAACTTGGATTTAACATTTAGAATTACCACATATATTCAGATGTAATATTTACATTTAACATTTGAATTTGGATTTAACATTTACAGTTAAGATTTATGTCAAGATTTAATATTTACATTTACAGTTAACATTTAAATTTGGATTTAACATTTAAATTTATCACATGGATTAAGATCTAATATTTACATTTAACATGTGACTTTGGATTTAACATTTACAGTGAACATTTACATAAAGATTTAATATTTACATTTATAGTTAACATTTACATTTAGATTTTCACATAGTTTTAGATTTAATATTTACATTTAATATTTGCATTTGGATTTAACATTTACAGTTAACATTCAACATTTACAGTGAGATTTAATATTTACATTTACAGTTAACATTTAAATTTGGATGTAACATTTAGATTTATCATATAGATTAAGATTAATTTGACTTTGGATGTAACGTTTAGAATTAGATTTAACATTTACAGTTAACATTTACATAAAGATTTGATATTTACATTCAATATTTACATTAACATTTTAACAATTAAATTAACATTGTTAAAATTAACATTGAGATTTATCATATAGATTAAGATTTGACATTTAATGTTTAGATTTAACATTTTCTTAGATAAATATGGGCCTACAGTTAAAAATTATATATAACGTGCTTTTTTACATGAATTTTTGTCTCAAAAAATTCACAGGAAACTCACAGGAAAGTGAGTTAAATATTTAAAATATATCAGCTAGAAAATTGTAACCAAATTTTAACATTTGGTGATTAAGTCAGTGAATCTGTCGAATGTACAAAAAAGATAAGATGAATAACTGAAACATAATGTTTTTTTAAAAATATTAGAGGAGTATGAGAAGTACCATTTTCCATAACATTAAAAAACAGTTAACTTTTTATCACTGCCGTAATTATCAAATATGGTTTTGCTGTCCTTCGCCCCTCAACAGAAAGTGCTTGTGATGCCCAATATGGACGATCTATATCTGCCCCTGATGTCGTCCGGCCTGGATAACCCACCTACATCCCACCAATCCTCAATCCATTCCTCGTCCCACCAATCCTCCATGGAGTCCCAGGACTACCTGTCAGAGTAGTACTGCCCCTTTGGGACCACACGTGGGGTTATGTTGATGAAAATCAGCCATTGTGTATCTACTGCTGTGAATCTCTGACAGATTCTGAGGCTGCTGAAGCTGGGTGCCGGCTCGCTGTTTATCCTGAGTGTGTTGGCTGTAACCAGTGCAGGATAGATGCCTGCTGAAGGCTCGCTAAACACAGCAGCGACCTCTGGGCTGTGAGAATGGTGCTACAGTGCCCTCTACTGTGAAGATGACTGTACTGTGCACCAGTGAGAGCACATGAAACACCAAAAGGGAACTTTTTTTTTTATTTAATGCCAACATTTTTAAAAAGATGCAGAAACTGGATGTCTTTCCTGCACGTCAAAACAAGGTGTTACTGATGAACACTGTTTTAAAAGATTAGACAAACTATCCATCCGTCTCTTTCTGATCCTGTCAGGAGTTTGGAAAATCATGGAGATGACAATGGTGATGACTATGTTCAGTCAAGCTATCATGGTGCATGTTACGTCTGAACAGTGTTGATATGCTCATGGATTTATCAGTGAATAAACACCTGTTCAAAACTTTAAATCGTATCTGTTAATTGTTGAACTTACAGGGGAACTTTTTCCAACCTGGATCCTATGTTCCCATGTTTTAGTGTCTAAGTAACTAATGGGAGTTAAAACACAAGCAGCATTTATGGATCACCCCTGCTAATGTACATGGAACAACAATACACAGTGTAGTTGAAACTCTGTTTTATTATTGTGAGAATTAAGATATGAGAAATCTTTTTTAGGCCTCCTCAATCAGAGGCTCCGGCAGGGTTTTCAGGGCATCCTTCTTCAGTGGCCCCTGCAGGTAAACCAGAGGTCAGTGTTAAAACAGTGCAGGGAGATAAGCAGTGATTATATTAAAGCTGGAGAATTTCCTAGTAATCAGATTTGTGCATGCACCAAACTTTTCTCACACTCACCATAAATGCCCTCTTCTCTTGGGCAGTCTGGAAGCGGCCGTGACCAAATTTGGAAGTGGTGTCGATGAACTTGAGCTCGATGGTCTCCTTGGATTTGCGGGATGTGTGCATGAGCAAAGACTATGGGGGAGGAAAGACACGAAGATGCACACATACTGACAAGCTGTACTTAAAGAAAATTAGATGCTACGGCTGTGCGCTTATACTGTGAGCTGCCTGTAAGATCTAAAATTAGACTCTCAGAATCATGCTGTACCTTTCTGAGGGTGAGGACACGTTTCTTAGCCCCGACCACGCAGCCCTTCACCATCACAAAGTCATTGTTCACTTCACCATAGTGGGGGAAGCCTCCCTAAAAATGGATAAAAAAGGGAATTAAGAGTAAATAAGGAGTGCTGAGGATGAAAAGAGAAAGTAGGAGACCTTACAGGATATTATTATACCAGCAGTGCTACATCATGATGCATTATAAACCTCTGTGCAGTGTTAAAGTGTGCCATGCAGGTGTGGTTATTACATCATAGATGGGGCTGCTTAAAAAGCCTTTCTTTAGTGCATATCTTAGTCTCAAAATATGGGAGTACCATGGGCGAAATGGTCTTCTGGCTGGTGTCGTAATGAGTTGAGGCATTGTTCCGGATCACCTTTCCATCCCGGATGTGCACGCCCCTACCAACACGGTAGACCTGAGGACGCATGAGGACATGAGGAGCACACATATGGACACAAGATGAAGTCTTGTGGTTGAAGTTGTACTCTTAACTCTCAGCTCACCTTCTTGTTGATCTCAGTACGGTGGTGGTAGCCCTTCTGACCAGCACGAGCTATAGTGAACGCCACACGGGCTGGGTGCCAGGCTCCAATACAGGCCACCTTCCTCAGACCCTTGTGAGTCTTCCTGGGAAGCTTCTTTGTGTGCCAGCGGCTTGTCACACCTATCAGCCAAAAGAGCCAGAAACAAATATATAAGCGAGTGCATTTATTTTACAAGTCCTTGGACTGGCACAGCTAGTCTGAGCTTGAACAATATAATAGTTTTCCCTCTACGATTATTATCATTTCCAACCTTTAAAGCCATGTCCCTTGGTGACTCCAATGACATCGATCATCTCATCCTGGCTGAAGACGGTAGAAACAGGCACAGGCTGCTCCAGGTGCTCCTTAGCCCAGTCCACCTTGTCCGAGATGCTTCCCCCATTTAGCTGCACCTCCATAATGTGGGCCTTTTTCTGCAATATGGGCAGCAATCGCATCTGGAAATGGAAACGCCTGTTAGCTACAACTGAAAGGAGTCCAAAAAATCTAGAAAAGCTTTTCTAATTATAAAGTGTTTGTATAATTAGAGTTATTATTTAGCACAGGGTCATGTTTGAGCTTGTGTCCAGGGCAATTGGATCATATTTTCTTTTCTTGAGCTGAAACCTGGACAGAAAATCATCCCAGCAACACTGTTAAGAGTTGGCTGATCTTCACATTGATTGCTGCCAAGGTAAAGGTTTCCCCTCAGCAAAGTCTGGGTGAGCAGCCAGGTTCTGCCCCGAGAATTATTTTTAAACTGCTATTTGAAACGGCACCCTCCAGTGCTCCCATCAGACGGAGCATTGTAGCCAGGGTTGTTTTGCTCTTGGCACCAGAGGGATTTAGGATGTGGCAGCTTTTCTTTCCATTGCATGTGGTCAGGTGGATACCTCTGACACTTCTGCCCCTTTTGCAGAGGTGGATTCAATAGCTGCTAATACATAAGTGAATAGCTGCCAATCATTGGACCAATGGAGTCTAAATGATACGGGATGAGACACTAAAACTGGATTGCACTTTGCATTTAGTTGTAAACTGGCCAGCCTACCTGAGTGTGAACAATCACCCTGATCACTGAGCAGTATTTCTTCATCTGAGAGAAATCCTTGTCCAGCTGTTTCTTTCCCGTCTCATCCTGCCACTTCTTACTGTACTTGCTGAAGGCCTTCTTCTTGCTCTTGTGCCTGAAATACAGGAGAGCTCAATGTAGATACATTGTCGGTAAGGCAACGCTCAATTTGCTGCACACAATCACACACCAGTTTTTATAAAATCTGCGCTTGCAGTCATCACTGAGATGCTCAGCAAAGATGGTTTTGAGTGCGCGCAGGCCACGGATAGTCTTAATGTATCCCACGACCCCCGCCACAATGACTGGAGGAGTGTCTATTATGGTAACCGCCTCTACTTCCTCACGCTTTGCTATCTCTGTGAGAGGAACATAGAAAATAATTATCAGCTGAGAAACTTTAACTGTCAAGCATGACATTTTAACAGTGGCATTTTATGATTTGTGAACAATATACAGCACAGAAAGACCCCATCACAAATTACAGAACAGTATATGAGCCACTATGAGGGAAACTTTGTAGTTTTCAACCTGGATTCCATTTGCAATGCTTTAAGTGACTAATGGGAGCAACAATTTTTGAAATTGGTCCAGTATTGAGAAGACTGCTGCAGCTGGCATCCACAAAACAGCCTTTTTACGTCCATTAAAGGTGCTTGTTTTTTCCACTGACAGGATCAGATTATTCTTATAAGTGTCTGGCAACATTGTGGGGAGGATCCCTACAGAGAAATAGCTTTTTGTTGATGAGTAAGATCCTTTTTGTTTAACCAGAAACAACTGAGAAATCGCTATCACCAAACCCACCAGACTCCATTTAAATAAACAGTCATTTTAGCATGCATAGAGCCACATACGTTCCATCTAACTGGGTGAATGACTGGGTTTATTTCAACCAAACCAGAGTTGGTGATTGTTGAAACAGTGGAAAGATGAACCAAGATGGCTTTTGTGAGCTTTATTTTGTTCCTGTAAAATTTGACGTCAGTGTGTTTTATAATGATAAAATTACTGCTTATTTAGATGGAGTCTGGTGGGTTTTGCAATCCAATGTCGGTGCTGTTAAAGGTTAAACAAAAAGGATCTTATTCTTTAACAAAAAGGTCAACCTCTCTAGGGATCCTTTCCATAATGCTCTCTGACACTTAGAATTACAATCTGAGCCTGTCAGTGACAAATACAAGCACTTTTGCTCAACACATTTGTCACTTAGACACAAAAAACTCTGGGAAATGGGGTCCATATTGAAAAATACCAAAGTTACCATTAAAATCTGTACAGAAAACTGTAGGGTACTTTAACACTTGATCTTATAAGCCCATTATCCCCTCAAATAAACAGCAAACATCACTCAGAGGTAATGTTTTGTCCTCCATCCTCCCATGCACCCATGCTGTTGAAAGTCTGGTCATACATACTGAGGCCAGCGCGGTGCACCTCCCTCAGTGTGTGGGTCATGCCAGCCTTGTAACCCAGGAAAGCAGTGAGGTGGACAGGTTGGCTGGGGTCATCTTTGGGCCACGTGCGCACCTTGCCTCTGTGCTTCTTGCTACGCTTGTGGGGCAGGAACCCCATGTGTCCATGACGGGGTGCGTGGAACTTGCGGTGAGACTGAAAAGGACACACTAGTTATTAAAATGAAACTCAGGAAGCTTAACCCAGAAATATTACAGTAACTTTTTAAGAACTGCAGTGGTAGATCAAGAAGAGACACCATCAATCCTTGTGTGTACTCCTGTTTCCATGAACTCTTCAGATATTCTAATCCTCTGACATTACAAGCCTCCAGAAGTTGTAATAAAATGAAACAGGATATCAAAAAAATATGCTGTAACAGTTCCTTAATCTTCAGGTATGTCCAGGCCATCTGTTTGTACTCTCTGCATTGATATGTCACATTTAATGTGATTTAGAAATCCAGCACCGGCTAAATAATAAACAACCCCACGATGATGGGATGCAACATTAAAAAGAAGCCACCATTTCAGTATTCCACGTGGTCTCTTCAGAGGCAGCCATTACAAGATAACTTTTCAATATGCTTAATCTTCCCTTTATAAACACTAGACGGCCAAACAAAGTGATAAACCACACACACAAGTAGTTCAAGTCAAAGACTGCAAAACAAAACTGTTAATTCATGTATCCTTTATAGTAGAAAAGAACCAAAAAATATGAAAGGCA